TCGGTCGACCACACAGCGCTCGCTGAAACTCTCGTCGGCTCCGAACCTGACCTATTTCCCGCTTTTCAAATGACTCGTTCTAATCTCGTGTCGCACTCGGTGCTCCCGATTGCGGCGGACGCTAGAGCATAACCCGGCTCCAAGCGACTGTCTCGCTGGCACGACAAAAAGATACCCCCAAGGCCAGCCGACGATATCGCCATGGGCTCCGAAAGTCGCCTCGCAACGCAAGCCCATGCCACAGCAGCGACCATCGGGAGTTTCCACTTCTTGCCTCGCTCCCCATGCCAGCCTCCCACCCCTCTCGTCCCATTCCCTCGCTCACTCGCTCTCAGTCGCTTCTCACCCGACGCCTATCCAAGCTGCTCCACCCACCATACAGGAAAAAGTACAAATAGGTCGCTGGGGTTTCTGTTAATTCATCAGTCTCGATCAAAGCTGCAAGTCTTCCTACCTTGTCCTCGAGTTCCTATCAGCTTGTGCTCCCTTCGCTACCAGCTGTAAAAGTCTTCTCGAGTGCTCAGTATACTCTGCTAACTCGTCGCGAAAGCTTAGCCGTAACCTTCCAACTCTTCGTTCGTCAGCAACATGGCCTGCATCGGTGCTGAGAATGCCTGCGTGGACGTGATGCTCTGTTTGCGAGCTGCTGGGAGCAAAACGACTCCCTCACGCGCTTCGTCTGCAGCATGATTGCAGCTTCACGCCTGGTAAGAACCACTTACTCCAAACCATTCCCTTCAGATCTCGCAAACCCTGATCTTCTTTACCAGCAGCGTTTTGTTCATACGTGTCATCATTCATGACCTTTCTCGTAAACAGCAACTAACCTATCTCTTTTCTTCTACTGCAGGCCGTCTCCAACTGGATCAGGCCGTGCGAGCAAGCAGCAGTGGAGGTTCTGTCGGTTCCCGTTCTCCCTGTTGTCGCTCTTCTGGAAGAAGCTGCGTCAACAGATGCAGAGGCAGAAACCGCTGCTGTGGCTGTTGCTGTGACTGTGGATGCTCCAACTGTGACTGCTGCCGTTTCGAGTCAGGCCGAGGACGCAGAGGAAACTGAGAACGCAGAGGAAGCAGAAAAGGCAGAGGAACCAAAGGAACCGAAGAGGAAAGCTTATTCGTTCCTAGAGCTGCTTGCTCGAGAGGACTCTGTTGCCTCACGTACCTCCTCAGTTGACTCGGTTTCCAAGGTTGATGCTTCCTCAGCCAAGGTTGCGGCCTGGTTGGGTGTGAAAGGCGGATCAGAGCAGGATGGGAAGGTGGGAGTGAAGGCACAGCAGGGTGGGAAGGAGGGAGCAGAGGAGAGCAGCGGGTGGTGCAGCTTGAGTCGCAGTGAGAGCAGCTGCAGCAGCCGCAGTGCGTGTCTCATCCACCTCTCCTCGGACTCCTCCTCCTCCTCCTCCTCCTCCGCTCACAGCCTCTGCAGCAGCCCCACTGGCTTGACGAAGGAGGTAGCTGGTGTGAAGAGGGGGATTGGCCGAGGCGGTTCCAGCATTGGAAAAGGATGCTCTCTGTCCACTGCTTACCATTTCACTGAGCTTTTGGCAGCGGAGAAAAAATCAGTGAAGAGTGGGATCGGTAAGGGCCTTTCCTGCAATGGGAAGGACTGGAGCATGGAGGTGAAAGGGTTTGGGAAGGCGGAGGAAGGACGGATTGTCTCAAACCAGTTGTTTGGGTGTGATTATGGGGAGGAAGAGGAGGAGGAAGAGGATGGCAGTAGCAAGCAAAGTTTCAAGACCCTTGGGACTGGAACAATGTGCTACATGAATCAGCTGTACATGGATGAGGAAGAGGAGGAGGAGAGGGAGGCATTGGCGGCTTCAGGCATCTCAGTGGGCGTCGGCAGGTTTGGAGCCAGGCGGAGAATCACTGGCTCTAGCAGCCGAGTCACTCTTAGGAGAATGAGCAGTGTGCTGAGACAATATTAGAACCATTAGCTGTTTCTGTAGAAATTGTGGCTGTAACCAGAGGTAACTGGACAGCACACATTCGGTAGTAGCTGGCAGCTGGCATGGCAGAAACCAGAGAATCTGGACTGCCTTTTGTGTACATTACATTCTGCTCAGTTGTAATAAACTGGTTCCTTCGCGTGTGAAAAGAGGTTCACAATTGCTAGATTATTAGGAACAAAACATACACATAAATTCACTGCCACCACCATCCATGGAATCATCTCAAAAGAGCAGCACCTAGGGAGCTCCAGCCCTCCAGTTCGGAATGCTCCATGTTGCATCATTTATCATGGAAGCCAGCTTGAACTGAAACACACAAAAAGAACGGAGAAAGACGAACAGAGGGCCACTTAATGGGCAAAAAAAGCACTTCCAGAAACAGATATGCATAAATGAATGGTGGAACGCATGAATGGGTGGTGGAAAATGGATTAAAACAAAAAGAAATTATCCTTGCACTGAAGCTTTTTGCGAACGGATGGGGTGGAGAGAACAGGTGACTAGTTGATCACATGTGCTGCTGAAGTCCCATGTCTTACCAAGACGCCATTGCAACCATTGTTGACACTGATCACACATTTTATTGAGCATCATATACATCAGGAGAGCGTGATTGATGCAGATAAACTTCTTGCAACATAAACGCATCAACCTGACAATGAACACCAAATACGGTACTGCCACAAAAGGCAGTACTTACAACAAAGGGAGCGGCTCCTTTGGGAGGAAGGGAGAGGTTGCGAGGGGGTGCTGTGTTGAATCCCCTCTTGTCAAAATGCCATGGTCCCACCACCCCTAGGGTCATCTTGCCCTGAGAAGGAGACACGGAGAAGCACAAGTACTTTGTGTGAGACGTCTCAGAACAGAATAACGTTAATGTCCCACATGTCTTCAGGTGGAGGGTGAGGAATGAGGGGTCGAGGAGGAATAGAAGGGCAAAAAGACAGACAAAAGTGGCACCAAGAGAGTATTCTGCAGTTTGCTAATCATGCAGAAATAGACATTGATTATGCAGCTTCAACAGCTTGACAGGGACACTACAGTATGCCAAAACTAGTGTAGATTTAAGTTACATTGTAGATGCCATAATCTAAGTTGATCCAACGATTCCACAGTTGAGATGGAAATTGATGCAGTCAAACAGTTGTCCAGATGCAGTACATGCATTACATGCCAGATTCAAAACTAGATTAATGACTCAAAAGTCGTAACAGCTGAAGAATGAGACCCTCAATGTAAGGTTGAAATCAGGAATATATGTACTTGATCATGTATGTGTAACTGTGAAACTGTAGTTACATACATTGAGGTCGAAGTCCCAGCCGTATGTGTAGTGGATGAGGTAGGTCCCATGGAGGCTGGTCCATTCAGTATGACGTGCCCGCCATACCCCATGCTCGTCATGCCCGCCATGGCCGCCATGCCCCACGTAAACAAGGAGAAACGTGAAACCATGCATACAGTTTGGTTGAGTCCAACATGACCATGCAACATGCCCCATGCACCATGCACCATGCCCCATGCAACATGCCCCATGCACAATGCACCATGCCCCATGCAACATGCCCCATGCACCATGCATGCACCATGCATGCACCATGCCCCATGTCCCATGCACCATGCCCCATGCCCCATGCCCCATATGCCATGCCCACGCACCATTCACCATGCACCCATGCACAATGCACCATTACCCCATTCACCATGCAGCACGCACCATGCAAGGAGGGGGTGAAGAGAAATTTGTAAGAAAAAAGGTCAAGGGGATGAGTGCCCAGTCCAGCAACAGCAATCGCAGAACAGCGAATGATTTGTGACGCTGGAAAAAAGCTAGGATAAGCATGCACAACGAATGAGAGTTGAGTTAGAAAAGAGACAGCTTTCAGTGCAAGCAGTGGGCAATGCACTAGCAGTGGAAGCAGTCAGGAGTCAGTTTGCTTCCACTTGATAAAGAAAGAAAGCAGTAGCAGTGATAGTGGCACCACTGCCATATTCATGCACATAGCCACATAAAACCGCCCTGAACCACCTGAAGGGGGCAAACAAACACTTGAACTCTGCATACAGCACCAGAAACTATCTGCGAAAGCACCTGAACCAAGCCAATAGCCACCTGAATCACATGCGGTGTAGAGTGTGCTGTACTTCCAACAGGGCAGCTGACGTGGCATAATCGTACCGTACGCTGGGGGGAGGGGGAGAGGTGGGGGGTGAAAAAGGGGGACGAGATCAGGTGTTGCAGTTCCAGGTACGCTGGAGAACGAGGATGCAACCCAATGGTGCTGGCTTTCACTTGTCCGGAGCAAACGGGAACAGATGCAGGCGTCGTAGGTAGCGCGCTGGGGGGAGGGGTGGGTTGGAAGGGAGGATATTAGTCATACCAGGCAAGCAGGGCAAGAGGGGGCAGCTGCAAGAGGAGGAAGCAGGCCACGAATTAGCGGGCTGGTGGGAGGGTTGGGAGAACTGGTGGGAACAAACTCGAGAACAGATATATTTTTTAAAGAGGCGAATTTGTTTTCAGGTTGCAAAAGAAGGATTTGTTCCAAGTGCTCTCTGCTGCTCACCTGCAGTGCCTCGGCTGAGATAGAAGCAAAAGACAGCCTCACTGTTGCTGCCCTGCCCATCTTCCGCCCCTCCTCTACTCTTGTGCTTCTCACAACAGCAGCGAGCATGGTACCGCCAAATAATCTCCAGGCGCTCTCTCCTGCTCACCTGCACTGCCTTGGCTCAGGAAGAATCTGAACACACCCTCCCTTACGGCCCCTTTTGTGCCCCCTCGTCTTGAACCTCTCACAACAGCACCACGGTAGCAAATCCACTCCAAGAGCTCTCTGTTGCTCACCTGCAGTGCCTCGGCTCAGGAAGAATCTGAAAACACCCTCTCCCTCATCGCTCCTCTTTCTCCATTCAAGAAGAACGTAATGTAAGCCCCCTCTAAATATCTCCAAACAATCGCTGTTGCTCACCTGCACTGCCTCGGCTCAGAAAGAATCTGAAAACACCCTCTCCCTCGCTATTGTGCCTCTTCTGCCCCTCCTCCATTGCCTCGCGTTCACTCCCTCCCTCCCCTCTCCTTCTCCTCCCCCCTCCTCTCCTTCCCTCCCACTCCCGCTTCCTTCTCTTCCCCCCTTCTCTCTGTTGCCACATCGCTCCTTCCTGCTTCCCCTCCACTTGCCTCCCCCCCTTCTCCTTCCCCCTTGCCCACAATGCCTGGAAGGGCGCGCTTCAGTAACCTGACTGAGGGGGGAAAAGGGGGAAGGCAGAAAAAGCGTGGGGGAAAGGCGGAACAAGGAAAGGGGCCACTTCCCCCTGTCTCTTCACCGCTTCTTCCCGCTTCCCATCCACCAGCCTTCCCCCCTTTTTCCTTCCCCCTTGCCCGCGATGGCAGGCAGGGCGTGTTTTAGTAACCTGAATGAGGGGCGAAACAGGGGGAAGGCAAAAAAACGGTGGGGGTACTTCGCCCTGTCTTTCCCCCAATTCGTCCCGCTTCCCCTCCACCTCCCTTCCCCCCTTCTCCTCCCCCCTCTTGTCCACGATGGCAGGAAGGGCGCGCTTCAGCAGCCTGAATGAGGGGGGAAACGGGGGGAAGGCAAACAAACAAACGGAGGTTCACTCCCAGCATGCCCCTCTTGGAGAAACACACTGCCCGTGAATGCCGGTCCCCTCATCCCCTGCTGCTGCTGCTGCTGGTAGTGGTGGTGTGGCGGTGGGGCTGCTGCTGCTGATGCTGATGTGATGCTGCTAACTTAACTTCCACCCTGCCCAACCACACCCCAACCATCCCGCCCACTCACCCTGTCAGCTGCCGGCGCTGCTGCCCCAGCCACTCCCCATCCCTGTGAAGGGAGAGGGTTCGACCTTGACGCCCAGCATGCCCCGCTTGGAGGGGACAGCCATTCTCAACCAGCCCAAACACGCGAACCACACCGCAACCATCCCAACCACTCACCCTTGCAGCTGTTGACGCTGCTGCCCCACCCACTCCCCCATCCCTGTGAAGGGCGATGGCTCGACCTTGACGCCCAGCATGCCCCGCTTGGAAGGGTCCGCCACGAGAAACACATTTCCCATGAAGGCTGGCCCACTGCCCACCCGCTGCTGCTGGTCCGTGGGGAGGAGGGATGGCAGCGGTGGCATGGGGACGGGGGAAGGGCGAGAGCGGGGTGGAGAGGAGGAGGGTGGGGGGAAGAGGAGAAGGAGGAGGACGAGGAAAGAGAGGAAGAGGAGGAAGAAAGAGAGGAGGAGGAAAGTGGGGCGGACAGCCGCAGTGTAAACCCCTCTTGAATCTCCTGAATCTGCCAACTGGCCCCTGAATCTCCTCCCACTCCCACTCCCACTCCTTGCAGCATGACCTTAGCAGCACTATTTCACCTGTGTGCTGCTGCGGGCAGCTTTTTGGGCACCTCAAAACTTTCAACGCGCCTTAGGCTTCCTCGCTGCACGACCGGAACAGCACTGCTGCACCCAGCCGATGCTGCTGCGGGCAGCCGGGTGGAGGACCAGAGCAGGCGAGCAGGCTCGGAAGGCCGGATCAGGTTCGGCGAGTGTGGTTGGATCAAGGGGGTGCACGGTTGGGGTTTCACATCGCCTAACCATTTCGCCGCATTCGCCACCGGCTGTTGCAAGGCCAGAGCGATCCCACCCACCGGCCCTGGAAATCCAAGCATCCCTAAACGAGCTAACGGTCCTGCTTGTAACGCGTCTGATTGTCCCAGCGGCCGTTGCCATCCCCATGTTCGGTGATGCGGTCGAGCAAAAACGCGTTGTGAACCGTCGGATTGAGATATCACACTGAGACGCCGCTCCGCTGATGGCGTCCGTCGGTTCGTCTGATCCTGAGACCTACTAGCACCGTTTTCAGTCTGCTTGAGGCGGTTCCTGCGTGGCGAACGCTTCACGATCACGCGGTATTGCTGCTGCGACGGGCTGCTAAGATTTAAATTCCCTGAGGAATCGCGAGGCCCGGTGGCGAGGAGGTAGATGTGGAGGCTGTCGTGCGTGCCGCTGGTAACCAATTCCGCGCACTCGTCATGTTCGTTAGCATCGCAGATTTCGCCATCGCCACCTGGTGCATGGACATCCTGCATGGTCGCGGTCTGATTTCTGAATTCTAGCGGTTCCTCCTCACACCTCTCTGCCATGGTTTGGGCAACTAGTTTGCAAAAACAGCAAACCGCGAAATTGGAATCTCTGGTAAAAAAGACCATGAAATCCATCCAGAGCAGAGGTCTTAGGGCGTGTTTACGGTGACAGAAATTGCTCAAGAGAACAGCTGGTAACAGCTGGTAACAAGACTACTAGTTCCTCAAAAACTTTGTGACGGGCTATCAATTTAATTAACCTCTGACTGAACGTGTCTTTGGTGCTCCTCTTTTCCGCCCTTACGTCACCACGGACTCCATTAACCTCCTCGACCCTTCAATCTCATCCACCATGACCATGCTTCCCCAAGACATTCGTGATCGCTTCCCATCATGGCTTGTGCTTCAATCGGGCTACCCTCCTAAACTCTTTACTCATCTCTCCCAACACCTCGAAGCCGATTTGCTGGAGAAGGTTCGAGCCACAGTAACGTCCCCGCTTCGCCTTGCTCGTCTAACCTCTTTGCAGGGCCCGCATGCAGGTGACTGGCTCACTGTGGCTCCATCCTCCCCGCACATGCAGCTTTCAGAGACTGAATGGCGCATTGCAGCAGCTATCCGCTTAGGCCTTCCTCTTCCTCACCTTTCATCTTCACTCACCTGCACCTGCAACTCCCCGTTCACCGATCCTTCCATCCATTCTCATGTCCTTCGCTGCCCTAGCAACAACGAGCCTACTAAGGTGCACGACGCAATCAAACGAGAAGTTCATCGCATTGCCTTGGAGCTTGGGTTCTCTGCGCAGATGGAAGACCAGCATCTCCTGCCTGGCCGCCGCACAGACATCACTTGCCGCGATATTAGCTCTGGTACCACCTGGGCCTTGGATGTTTCTGTTGCTGATCCACAAAAGGGGTTTCCGCACTCCAATGCAGCTACGGTGATTGGTTCAGCAGCAGCCACTCGTGAAAGTGAGAAGACCACCCACTATGCTGCAGCACTTCGTGACCGTCCAGACATCAAACTGTTTCCCCTTGTCATCGAAACCTTTGGTTGCTTCGGCTCTTCGTTCAACAACTTCCTTCGCCAATGCAGCCGCAAAGGGGCGTCACAACTCCGCGACTTGAGTGGTGCCACAGATTCTCTTCCCCAGCTGTTTGAGACCAACTTCTACAAACGGATTTCTCTGGTCCATCAACGTGAGCAGGCTCGCACTGTTTGTCGTCGTGCACAAATTCGTTTTACCGAGGGCGTCAACCACGCACCACCCGAGGTGACTTCTCTTTCTGCAGCTGACTTTGCCTACTTGGGAGAGGACCATTGAGACATCACAGAGGCCTATTTGTAGGCCTCACAATAGGATTAGCCTGCATGTCTCTCCATACACTAGATCTTTGGATTTGCCTTGTATCCATTGTACATTTACTATAGTGTCAATAAAGAGGTAGGATAGCACCCTGCCATGCGCCCGGTGCATACCCGGGTTCGATTCCCGGCAGGCACATGATCATTTTGCTTTCATCGCTTTTTCTTCGCGCATGATTTCGTTGTGTTTCGTCAAAGCAGAACATCTTCGTCGGCGCAGTCAGGATTTCGCTAGTCGACACTTTCGCTGACATGAAGGTTGATTCGCTCTACTTCGTCAGCGATGACCTACATCAACCTGCACATTCGCCAAACAACCCCTACCCAACCGTCCATTGTCCAGCAAACCGTTCTGCACCAGAAAAGAACCTACCCAAACGCACTGAAACGAACTACTTATGACACATCCTCACCTCACCCAGGATCAATATTTTTTCGCGCAGGACTCTAGTGGACACAGCAGTCCCAGGCGATTGAACACAGTGGAACTTTAGTGGAACACAGCAGATCAGCATGTTGTCCTGTCCTTCCTGTGCGGAATTCGTGCGACCGCGGGTGGATATGGCCAGACGGAACACTGGGCGGAGAGGGAAAGCCGACAGCAGCATGCGATGATGTGAGCTTTGAGACGTCTCGAAATATGAAATCGCTGAGACGTCTCGAAGTATAACATTATTACAACGTCTCTGCGAAACTGGCTTTTGCTGTAAGCAACGGCGCGGCGCTTCGCCGAAGCAGCAGTGGAAATTATTTTCGATAGAGGAGAGGGTGGAGTGGAGAGGAGAGAGCGGAAAGGAGAGGGCGGAGAGGAGAGGGCGGGGCGGAGAGAGCGGAGAGGAGAGGGCGGAGAGGGGAGGGCGGAGAGGAGAGAAGCGGAGAGGAGAGGGCGGAGCGGAGAGGAGAGCGCGGAGAGGAGAGAGCGGAGAGGAGAGAGCGGAGAGGAGAGGGCGGAGAGGAGAGGGCGGAGCGGAGAGGGCGGAGAGAAGAGTGCGGAGAGGAGAGGGCGGAGCGGAGAGCAGAAGGGGGGCAGGTACGGCGGTGATAAGGCGGTGCGAGGACAGGTACGGCGGTGATAAGGCAGTGCGAGGACAGGTACGGCGGTGATTGGGTGTTGGTGAGAGCACTTTTGAGGCGCCTCAATAGTCGTTTGCTGCCCTTCTAATATGAGTCAAGAACACTGCTGAGCACTGGGTGATTGGGAGGAGATGGGAGGGTGCTGCCCATGCATCTCCACTTCACTGACCCTTCGCCCCCTTTTTTATCCGCCTCAATAATCGCCTCAGATATATTTTGAGGCGCCTAAAATGTTGGGAGGCTGCTGCCGATGCGTCACTGACCCTTCGCCCCCTCAGTGGATGCAGCAAGGGGGGGAGAGGGGGGAGACGATAGGGCAGATGGAACTGATGGTGAGGGAAGAATTGCAGCTAAGCACTGAGCCATTGGGTAGTGGTGAGAGCAGAGGGGGGAGGGGGGTTGGGAGGTGGGGGGGATGGGAGGTGGGGGGATGGGAGGTGGGGGGGATGGGGGTTGGGGGGGATGGGAGGTGGGGGGATGGGAGGTGGGGGGATGAGAGGTGGGGGGATGGGAGGTGGGGGGATGGGAGGTGGGGGGATGGGAGGTGGGGGGATGGGAGGTGGGGGAATGGGAGGTGGAGGGATGGGGGATGGGGGGATGGGAGGTGGGGGGATGGGAGGCGGGGGGATGGGAGGTGGGGGGATGGGAGGTGGGGGGATGGGAGGTGGGGGGATGCGAGATGGGGGGATGGGAGGTGGGGGGATGGGAGATGGGGGGATGGGAGGTGGGGGGATGGGAGATGGGGCTACAGGAGCTAGGTGATGGGAAATGGGGAGAATGGGAGGTTGGGGGATGGGAGGTTGGGGATTGGGAGATGGGTGGATAGCAGGATGAAGGGAGATACAATGAATGGGGGCGAAGTAATGGGAGAAGAAGGGATGGTAGGAGGGGGGATGGGATGGGAGGTGGGGACTTGCGTGTGGGGTGGATGAGAGGAGGGAGCGGGGGGAATGAATTTCATAAGCTACTGCGGGAAATAAGGGGTGGGGAGGGTTGCAAAGGGATGAATTGCAGCTGCCTTATCTCATCAGGCTACACCTCATCCCTTTCCGTCCAGCATTGCCCCCATCCATTTCCCCATCCATTTCCCCTTTCCCCCCTGAACCTTTTAAACTCACCTTTTCTCCTTTTGGCACAATCGTCCTCATTCGTCATTGTGCAGAGCGCATGAATGTGCAGCAACATAAATTCTTCTTCACTCTGCACTGCTTCCTGGTGGTCTTTTTCTCATCCTGGGAGTACCACTTCCAACCCCTCACATTCCCCCAGCCAGCCCTTGCACATGGCTTTCCCTTACCCCCCCGCTGCACTGTTTCCCGCTACTGCTGCTCACACTATATTGCTAGTTATTGCTTCTTTCTCCCCCCTCCCCTCGCTTCTGTTTTGATGCAGTGATTGGGTTTTGACCCCCCTTATGTGCCCTTTCGTGAAAGCAATAGCCTGGTTACATAAACCACCAACTGGTCTTTCGCAGTTGTGCCAATATGCAACATTGCTTACACTTATACCAATGGCAGAAGAGTGCCTGTTTCTCTGTTTTTTATGTTAAACTCTGAATATCCATTTCCATAACTCGAATATAGAATCCGTATCAAGCTTCTGTATACACAATTTTTCCATGTTCTTCGCCATTAGGTGCAGCGGGGAATAGTTTAGCGCTTACGGAGTCTCGATTTTGTCGCCCCCCTACCTTCTGCAAAACCTCAGGACGCGGTGAAAGTGCTCGATCGGGGGTAGATCGATTCGGTCACCGCACTGAACCCTGCATTTTGGACAAGAAAGGTACACAACCTTCTATAACCGCGCTAAAAAACGATCCTTTGGCGATCGATTCTCCACTTTCACCGCGTCCTCACTGCCCAACCTGCTGCCCAGGTTCGATCGCATATTATTCTATGTGGTGCGGTATGTTGGTCAGTAGCCCGCGAATCTCTCTAGGCCTTGACATTAGGTTCGGTGAACCACACAGCGCTCGCCGAGACTCTCGTCGTCTCCGAACCTGACGTATTTCCCGCCTTCTCGCGTCGCACTCGGACCGATTGCGGCAGACGCTAGAGCATAACCCGGTTCCAGGCGACCCTCCTCGGTTTCACTCAAAATCGTCGCTGTAGAAACGGAACTCGTGCGACACTTCGATACCCCCAAGCCAAGCCGACGATATCGCCAGCTCCGATCGTCGCCTCGCAAGCCCATGCCACAGCAGCGACCATGTCGGCGGGTTCCCCTGCTTGCCTCGCTCCCCCTGCCACCCTCCCACCCCTCTCCTCGCATTCCCTCGCTCGCTCGCTCTCACTCCCTCTCACCCGACGCCTATCCAAGTTGCTCCACCCACCATACAGGAAAAAGTACAAATAGGTCGCTGGAGTTTGTTGCATTCATCAGTCTCGACTAAAAGCTGCTTCCTAATTCCTACCGTGACCTCGAGTTCCTACCGGCTCGTGCTCCCTTCGCTACCAGCTGTAAAACTCTCAAGCGCTCAGGATCTACTCTGCAAACTCGTCGCGAAAGCTTAGCCGTATCCTTCCAACCCTTCGTACGTCAGCAACATGGCCTGCATCGGTGCTGCAAATGCCTGCGTGGACATCGATGCTCTGTTCGCGAGCTGCTGGGAGCAAAATGACTCCCTCACTCGCTTCGTCTGCAGCATGATTGCAGCTCCACGCCTGGTAAGAACCACTTTCTCCAAGCCATTCGCTTCAGTTCTCTCAAACCCTCGTCCTCTTTACCAGCAGCGTTTTGTTCATATGTATCGTCGGTTGTTTTCTGGTTATGTCATGACGCTTTTCATAAGCATCAACTAACCTAGCTCTTGTTTCCTCGTGTAGGCCGTTTCCAGTTGGACCAGGCCGTGCGAGCAAGCAGCAGTGGACGTGCAGTCGGTTCCCGTACTTCCTGTTGTCGCTCGTCTTGAAGAAACCGCGTCAGCACATGCGGAGCTTGAAACCGTTGCTGTGGCCGTGACTGTGGATGCATCAACTTCGAATGCTGCCGTTTCAACTGTGGCTGAGGAAGCTGAGGAAGCTGAGAAAATGAAAGAACCGAAGAAGAAAGCCTACTCGTTCCTGGAGCTGCTTGCTCAAGAGGACTCTGTTGTCTCACGTACCTCTTCCGTTGACTCAGTTGCTAGGATTGATGCTTCCTCAGCCAAGGTTGCGGCCTGGTTGGGTGTGAAAACTGGATCAGAGCATGATGGGAAGATGGGAGCAGAGGCAAAGCAGGGTGGGAAGCTGGGAGCAGAGGCGAGCAGCGGATGGTGCAGCTTGAGTCGCAGTGAGAGCAGATGCAGCAGCCGTGTCTCATCCACCTCTCCTCGGACTCCTCCTCCTCCTGCTCCTCCTCCTCTGCTCACAGCCTCTGCAGCAGCCCCACTGGCTTGACGGCGGAGGTAGCTGGTGTGAAGAGGGGGATTGGCCGAGGCGTTTCCATCATTGGGAAAGGATGCTCTCGGTCTGCTGCTTACCATTTCACTGAGCTCTTGGCAGCTGAGGAAAAATCGGGGAAGAGCGGGATTAGTAAGGGCCTTTTCTGCATTGGGAAGGACTGGAGCATGGAGGTGAAGGGGTTTGGAAAGGCGGAGCAAGGACAGATTGTCTCAAACCTTTTGTATGGGTATGACGATGAGGAGGAAGAGGAAGAGGACGGCAGCAGCAGAGACGGGTCCAAAATCTCAGGGACTGGGACAATGTGCTACATGAATCAGCTGTACATGGATGAGGAAGAGGAGGAGGAGAGGGAGGCGCTGGCAGCATCAGGCTTCTCTGTTGGCATCGGCAGGTTTGGAGCCAGACGAAGAATCACTGGCTCTAGTAGCCGGGTCACTCTCCGGAGAATGAGTGGTGCGCTGAGACAGTTCTAGGTGGCTTTTCACTAGAGATTTCTTTACTAGGTGTAGCAGCTGTGGCTTAACCAGAGAAACTGGACTGCCACAAATACGGTAGTAGCATGCATCTAGAATCTTCCAATAATTGTACAATATATTCAATGAATATCTTCAACAAACTGACTGCCACGTTGTCACAAGGTGGTGCATTACAAGTCCCTTGTACCTACCATTTGATCCAATCCAGTTCTCTGCCACATGTTTTCTCTGTCATCTTTTCCAGGAACTTCTGAAGCCTGAGTCAGAAAAATGATGGTGTTAGTTGGAATAGGATCTGCGTGTCTGGAATCAGAGAAACTCAAGGGTTACCGTACCACAAAGTTTACTACACTCACAAATGTATCAATGCATTGCCAAATTATCCGCCGTATATGTTTTTAACATTTTACATACCCCATTATTCTTGTTCGCACATCTCCTTTCATAAATTAAATTATTTTAAGCAAAATGGTAAATTCAGCCAAGTCTAGTGATGTGGTGGAACCTATGATATTGGCATGAACTTTAAAATCCAAATGAACCACAGGAAACCGCAGGCCCGACAAACACCCTCAACCATTCGCTCCCCTCGCTTGAACTCCTTACACCGTACCTCACTCCCGTACCTGAAGTCCAAGCTTGGTCATAAACTTGATCCATGTGCTCATCATCCCGTAAATCTCTAGGCCTGCGAACTAGGTTCGGGGAACCGTATCGCGTATACCGAGACTTTCGTCGGCGTACAAACCTAACCTCTTTCCCGCCTTCTAGATATTCTCGTGCCGCTCGGTACTCCCGGTTGCGGCGGATACTCGAGCAGTACGCGCTTCCAGACGACCCCACCTCGGTGGCACATATAACAACACGTGTCGCTCTCTGAATCGTCGCTGTTAAAACGGAGACTCTCGCGACACCCCGACGATCACCCCCAAGGCCAGGCGACGATGTCGCCATGGGCTCCAATCATTGCCAGAACTCGCAAGCCCACCCTCAGGCGTTGCGAGTTCGCCCAGAGCAACCATCGGCTGGGTCCCCTGTTTGCCTCACTCCCCCTGGCATCCTCCTACCCCTCCTGTACCTCTCGTCGCATTCCCTCGCTCGCTCGCTTGCACACGCTTCGTACTCGCTCATCAGAGTCGCTGTACCCACCAGACGGAAATAGTATAAGTAGGCCTTCAGAATGTTCATTTCATTCATCAGTCTCGATTGAAGCTACTTGCAAGTTCTCCTACCTTGCTCCCTCGTTACTACCAGCTGTCTAAGCCTGCTTGAGTTCTCATAATCTCGAGTACCAGTTCTGTCGCGGAATCCTTACCCTTCCTTCTCAATTCGTCTGTCAGCGAAATGGCCTGCGTCGGTGCTGAAATTACCTGCGTGGACGTCGATGCTCTGTTCTCGAGCTGCTGGGAGCAAAATGACTCCCTCACTCGCTTCGTCTGCAGCATGATCGCAGCTCCACGCCTGGTAAGAACCACTCCTCCACGCCATTCGCTTCAGTTCTTGCAAACCCTCAACTTCTTTACGAGCAATGTTTTGTCCATATCTAGAATCGGTTGTTTTCTGGTTATGTCATGACTCTTCTCGTAAACAGCAGCTAACCTATCTCTTTTTCCTCCTGCAGGCCGTCCCCAGCTGGATCAGGTCGTGCGAGCAAGCAGCAGTGGAGGTGCAGTCGGTTCCCGCTCTTCCTGTTGTCGCTCCTCTGGAAGAACCTGCGTCAACGGAGGCAGATGCGGAAATCATCCACCATTCCACTGAAGCTGGCAAGGCGGACGCTGCAACTGTGACTGTTGCCGTTTCAATTCAGGCTGAGGAAGCTGAGGAAGGAAAGAAACCGTTGGAGTTAAAAAGGAAAGTGTCTTCGTTCCTGGAGCTCCTTGCTGAAGAGAACTCAGTCTGTGGCTGTTACTTCCTCAGCCAAGGTTGCGGCCTGGTTGGGTGTGGAGCAGGGTGGGAAGGAGGGAGCAGAGGCGAGCAGCGGGTGGAGCAGCTTGAGTCGCAGTGAGAGCAGCTGCAGCAGCCGCAGTGCGTGTCTCATCCACCTCTCCTCGGACTCCTCCTCCTCTGCTGATAGCCTCTGCAGCAGCCGCACTGGCTTGACGAAGGAGGTTGCTGGTGTGAAGAGGGGGACTGGCCGAGGCGTTTCCAGGATTGGGAAGGGATGCTCTCTGTCCACTGCTTACCATTTCACTGAGCTCTTGGCAGCTGAGGAAAAATCAGTGAAGAGTGGGATGGATAAGGGCGTTTTATGCAATGGAAAGGACTGGAGCATGGAGGTGAAGGGGTTTGGGAAGGCAGAGGAAGGACGGATGGTCTCAAACCAGTTGTTTGGGTATGATTATGGGGAGGAAGAGGAGGAGGAGGAGGAGGAGGAGGAGGAGGAGGAGGAGGAGGAGGAGGAGGAGGAGGAGGAGGAGGAGGAGGAGGAGGAGGAGGAGGAGGAGGAGGAGGAGGAGGAAGAGGATGGCAGTAGCAAGCTAAGTTTCAGGACCCTTGGGACTGGAACGATGTGCTACATGAATCAGCTGTATATGGATGAGGAAGAGGAGGAGGAAAGGGAGGCGTTGGCAGCATCAGGTATTTCGGTCGGCATCGGCAGGTTTGGAGCCAGGCGCAGAATCACAGGCTCTAGCAGCCGGGTCACCCTCCGCAGAATGAGCAGTGTGCTTCGCCAATATTAGGACTTGACAGTATTAGCTGGTTAGAGTTTAGAGTAGCAGCTGTGGCTGGAGCCAGAGTAACTGGACTGCCAGAGTAGATGGCATGCCTCCAGAACCTGGTTTTGTAATTTATACATACTGTACACATTTTGTTTGTCACTAGACCAGTCAATCATTGCCTAATCATTTGAATTCCCCTGCACGAAGTGAACTCCTCTGTCAATGCTTCAGTTCAGAATGAACCAACAGACGAAGTACTGTATCATATGCCTTTCTTTGAGAATGGGCTGCAGCAGTACGACTCAGTGACAATATTACGGTAGACTTTTCGCACAATCCCTTCACCCATGAATGTTGCTTGCTTCTATCTACCGGTAAATCATGTCGCATCTTAACAAGAATGCCTCTTTGCTGGATCCTTGGGCTTTGCTGCCCCTCTCCCTGCTCCCGCTCCTCCCCTTCCCCCACCCCTGCCAGTGCTGTTAGGGGAAAGGCAACAGGAAGAGAAGGATGATGTGGCGAGAGAACTGAAATAAGACAAAGGACAGAAACTGCTTACTACACTTCATTTGGGAAACCTCAAAGACGCACCTCATGCATCCCATATTGAACAACACATTTGAGCTCAACTGCACCTTGTGGATTTCAAATTAGGTATATATACCGTAGTACACCTCTTGTAAGCTCCACGTCTCACTCTGCACTCATGGAACATCCAAGTGTTTTATCCCCCATGCCCGGTACCTGCATGCACTCCCTGCACCAGCTGCAACCTCACCCCACCTGAACTCCAAGTATGACCGCCCCTGGGCGCCTTACATGGCGCTCGTGAAAGAAGCGGTGTGCCTCACAATGGTGTAACATAGATCCACACGCCATGACAATAGATCCAATCCCACATGTAATTGAAGTCCACCCACCTGAACTCCATGTAAGACCGCCCTTGAGCTCCCGACATGGCGCTCATGGAAGCAGCGGAGCGCCTCACGATGGTCAACCATAGACCCACATGCCATGACCATGGGTCCACATGACATGATGGGCTGTAGATCCACATGTAATTGAAGTCCACCCACCTGAACTCCATGTACGACCGCCCCTGCGCGCCGGACATGGCGCTTATGGAAGCAGCGGTGCGCCTCACGATGGTCGATGATAGATGCACATGCGACATGTTGATTGACCAAGGGTCCACATGTACTTGAGTGGTCACACACCTGAACTCCATGTATGACCGCCCCTGCGCGCCGGACATGGCGCTATAGGCTCGAGCAGGGTGGTGTGGTGGAAAGAGCAGGCAGCTAGATAATGACAGGTTTTGTCCCACGTCATTCCAGGGTTTAGTTTGGTGCATCACCGAGTGTAAAATGCTGTCATGTATCACTGACCACATACATCAGGAGAGCATGATTGGTGCAGATGAGAGCGCAGCCTTGAAACATAGATTGTAGCAATCTGATAGAAAGCACAAGTTACAAAAGGCTGTGCTTACAACAGAGGGAGCAACTCCATGGGGTGGGAGGGAGGGGGAGCGAGGTGGTGAAGTGCTTACAACGGAGGGAGCGGCCCCTTTGGGTGGGAGGGAGAGGTTGCGAGGCGGTGCTGTGTTAAAATCCCCCTTGTCAAAGTGCCATGGCCCCACCACCCCTGGGGTCATCTTGCCCTAAAATGAGATGTGAGTGACACAAAAGAGACGGAAAGCAGCGAGGAGTGCGTTTGAGACATCTCAGATCCCATTTCCTTTTGTTCTTCTTGTCAAAGTGCCATGCATGCACCCACCGCCCCTTGCGTCATTCTGCCCTGAGATTAAAGGCAAGAAAAACAATGAGGCAAGGAAAGACAGGAAGGAGAATTACGGAACGTAACATTCCTCTTGTCAAAGTGCCATGGTCCCACCAGCCCCGGGGTAATGGTGCCCTGGACAGTGAGTGGCAACGTGACAAGGTTAAGCAGGTAGAAACCATGTTCAAGAAAAAAGTTACATTAGTGCGACTTTTGAGAATTCTCAAAAGTCGCACATCAAACTTGTCAAATGGCCATAGACCCACCACCCCTGAGTTCAACTTCCTCCGAAATGGAAGGTGAGGAACAAGGAGAGGAGGCAAAGCAGGGGAGAGAAAAAAGACCGGTGGAGGAGGCACTGGAAGGGACGTTCGTCGTTCATAGTCAAGTCTGTGTCATACTCAGTAAATGTCACATTCACGCAGAAATCAAACACCGAACATGCAACTTCACCCAACAATTACCACAACGAAGCTGGAATAAGGTTGAAACATTAATGTAGTCATACAGTTGCCCCAATGCAGTAAATGTAATCAGGAAGGTCTCGAATCCGGAATCAGGATCCAAATGCATGACAGTTGGAGATATGAAGAAAACGCTACCAATGATTGTATAACGGAGGTGGAAGATTTACACACATTGAGGTCGAAATTACAATCATAGGAGTACATATAGTGGATGGATTTTGCGCCGACTCAAAAGTGTGATTACATACATTGAGGTCGAAGTCACAGCCGTATGTGTAGTGGATGAGGTAGCAAATTCCCAGGCTCAGTATCCCATGGCGGCTGCATCATTCAGTACAGGCGTGGATACCATTCAGCATGCAGCATGCACGATGCACCATGCACCATATACCATACAGCATGACGCATGCACCATGTACCATTCAGCATGCAGCATGCACGATGCACCATGCACCCCCATTCAGAATGCAGAATGCAGCATGCACAATGCAGCGTGCAGTGTAAGGAAGGAGTGGAGAGACATAAGCTTGAAAAGGAAAGGCCAAGGAGAGGGACGAGGTAAATAGAGGTAAAAGGTTGTTATTGCTGTTGCTATATGTGCGACCAATGCATGAGAGACGAGGTAAAGGGAGAAAGCCATTGCACTGGAAGCTGAATGAGTCATTTTGCGTCCACTCAATGAGAAAATCAAAAGCAGAAGCACCTGAACTAGGATAATAGCTACCTGAATCATCCGCATGCGGTGTAGAGTGTGCTGTATCCCCAACACAGCAGCTGACGTGGCATAACCGTACCTGGAAGAGGTGGGGGAGAATGGGAGGAGGAAGGCGAGGGGAGAGGAAGGGAGGAGAGAAGGGGAGGTGTGAAGCAGGAGATGGGGGACGGGGAGGTGGAAAATGAAGGGGGACGAAGGGGAGGAGGGGAGGGAGAAAGAAGGGGAGCAGGGTGGGATGAAGAGGGGAGAAGGAGGAAAAGCAGAGATCGGTTTTGAGAATCATTTAAGTTTTCTCGCAAAGTACGAAGGACTGAGACAAGGTCGGGAAAGAGATGGCTGTAGGTTGTGCTTGTTTTGCTTCAAGCACACATCAGCACATGCACTCACATGTAACACCACATGCAATCACACTGCTACCGCACTCACACACAGCACCACACACACTCACACACAGCACCACACACACTCACACACAGCACCACACACACTCACAAACTGCACCACACACACTCACACACAGCACCACACAAACTCACACACAGCACCACACACACTCACACACAGCACCACACACACTCACACACAGCACCACACACTCACACACAGCACCACACAGCACCACACACACTCACACACACTCACACACAGCACCACACGCACTCACACACAGCACCACACACACTCACACACAGAACCACACACACTCACACACAGCATCACACACACTCACACACAGCACCACACACACTCACACACAGCACCACACACACTCACACACAGCACCACACACACTCACACACAGCACCACGCACTCACACACAGCACCACACACACTCACACACACCACCATACGCACACCACTCACACACACCACCACACGCACCCACACACAGCATCACACAGCCGCAGCGTAAACCTCTTCTGAACCTCCTTAATCTGCCAACTGACCCCTGAATCTCTTCCCACTCCCTCTCCCATTCCTTGTAGCTTGTAGGATGGATTCTGGATTTTCTCTGAATTCGCCAGCATGACCGCAGCAGCAGCACTATCGCACCCATGTGCTGCTGCGGGCAGCTTTCTGGGCACCTCGGACCGCCTCAAAAGTCCTCGCTGCACGGACGGAGCCGCACTACCACCGTCAGCTGCTGCTGCTGCTGCTGGCAGCCGTGCCGAGGACCAGAGCAGGCGAGCAGGCTCGGAAAGCAGTGTCAGGTTCGGTGAGTGTGGGTGGATCAGGGGGGCGCACGGTTGGGGCTTCACATCGCCTAACCATTTCGCCGCTTTTGCCACCGGCTGTCGCAAGGCCAGAGAGATCCCACCCACCAATCCTGGAAATCCAAGCATCCCTAAACGAGCTAACGGTCCTGCTTGTAACGCGTCTGGTTGTCCCAGCGGCAATTGGGATCTCCATGCTCGGAGATGCGGCCGACTGGAGACGCATTGTGAACCGTTGGATTGGGATAAAAGACCAAGACGCCGATTTATTGATGCCGTCCGTTGGTGCGTCGTATCCTGAGACCCGCTAGAACCGTTCTTAGTCTGCTTTAGGCGGTTCCTGCGTGGCGAACGCTTCACTATCACGCGGTATTGCTGCTGCGACGGGCTGCTAAGATTGAATTTCCCTGAGAAATCGCGAGGCCCGGTGGCGAGGAGGTAGATGTGGAGGCTGTCGTGCGGCGTGTCGCCGGTAACCACTTTCGCGCATTCGTCGTGTTCGTTAGCCTCGTAGATTTCGCCATCGCCACCTGGTACGTCGACAGACTGGACGCCCTGCATGGTTTGATTTCTGAATCCTACCGGCACCTCCTCACGCCTATCCGCCATGGCTTGGTTGACAAGTTCGAAAAACAGCAAACAAACAGCCGTGCCAGGACTTGAAATCCGGTCGTCGCAGAAGGTCTTAGGGCCTGTTCCAGCTTCAGAATTTCCTTTACAAAATAGCTGGTTACAAATGGTAACACAGTCTTAGGGCCTGTTCCAACTTCAGAATTCCTTTACAAAACTGCTCGCTTGTTATATGCTTACAGGTGTAACGCATTGACATGTCATCAAACTGTTTCCCCTTGTCATCGAAACCTTCGGTTGCTTCGGCTCTTCGTTCAACAACTTCCTTCGCCAATGCAGCCGCAAAGGGGCGTCACAACTCCGCGACTTGAGTGGTGCCACAGATTCTCTTCCCCAGCTGTTTGAGACCAACTTCTACAAACGGATTTCTCTGGTCCATCAACGTGAGCAGGCTCGCACTGTTTGTCGTCGTGCACAAATTCGTTTTACCGAGGGCGTCAACCACGCACCACCCGAGGTGACTTCTCTTTCTGCAGCTGACTTTGCCTACTTGGGAGAGGACCATTGAGACATCACAGAGGCCTATTTGTAGGCCTCACAATAGGATTAGCCTGCATGTCTTTCCATACACTAGGTCTCTGGATTTGCCTTGTCCATTGTACATTTACTATAGTGTCAATAAAGAGGTAGAATAGCACCCTGCCATGTGCCCGGTGCAGACCCGGGTTCGATTCCCGGCTGGCACAGACCGTTTCCCTCCAAACTAGTTGGGTTGGGGGAAACAGGCAATTCTGCGTGCTAGCTTGCACCTTGGCAAAACGGCATGCCCTCCTTACGACTTTAGCAATGTATATCAGCATTTCCGATGCCACAGTTTTTTCCAGCCGCATAAAAAATGCGTTCTTAGGCGATTGAACACAGTGGAATATAGCACAGCATAGTGTGCTTCCTGTGCGGAATTCGTGCGACAGCGGGTGGACATGGCCCGACCGAACGCCTCAACGATTTGTTGCGGGCGTGGTAGTGCGGGCGTGGTAGTGCGGGCGTGGTAGTTCGAGCGTGGTAGTGTGGGCGGGGGTCATTGGGCGGAGAGGGGAAGCCGACAGCAGCAGGCGATGACGTGAGGTTTGAGACGTCTCGAAATATGAAATCGCTGAGACGTCTCTAGGTATAAAATGGTTGAAACGTCTCTGCGAAACTGACTGCTGCTGTACGCATGGCGCGGCGCTGCGCTGAAGCAGCGATGGGATTGTTTTTCGAACGAGGAGAGGGTGGGGCGGAGAGGAGAGGGCGAAGAGGAGAGAGGGCGGAGCGGAGAGGAGAGGGCGGAGCGGAGAGGAGAGGGCGGAGCGGAGAGGAGAGGGCGGAGCGGAGAGGAGAGGGCGGAGCGGAGAGGAGAGGGCGGAGCGGAGAGGAGAGGGCGGAGCGTAGAGGAGAGGGCGGAGCGGAGAGGAGAGGGCGGAGCGGAGAGGAGAGGGCGGAGCGGAGAGGAGAGGGCGGAGCGGAGAGGGGAGGGCGGAGCGGAGAGGAGAGGGCGGAGCGGAGAGGATAGGGCGGAGCGAGAGAAGCAGAAAGGGAGTGGACGACGGTGGCGGAAACGACAAGACAGTGCGAGCGGGGGGCGAAGGGGCGAAACGCTGGCGATAATTCTCGATGTCGTCTCTTACCCTTCGCGCCCTCAGCAAGATGCCTGGGGGGAAGTGGCAGTCGGCGAAAGTGGAGAATCTGCTGAGGGAGAAATTGCAGCTGAGCAGTGGGCCCGTGGGTGTGGTGGGAGCAGGATGGGAGAAACGGATGGGAGATGGGGGGTGGGGGATGGGAAAACGGATGAGAGGTGGAGAAGGGGGGGAGAGGGGGGGGGGGGGGGGGGGGGGGTGTTTGGAAGAAGGGGGATGAAGATGGGGGAATAGGGGATGGGGGATGGGGGCTCGGGATGGTGAATGGGCAACGAGGGACAGGGGAGTGTGAGATAGGGGGTGGATGTATGGGGAATGGGTAGTGCGGGGATGGGAGATCGAGGAAATGGCAGGTGGGGGGTTGGTGAATGGGGGATTGGGAGATGGGTGGATTGCAGGATGCGGGGTAGGAGGAAGGGGGAAACGAGGTAAGGGGGAGTGGGATGGGAGAAGCAGGGATGGTAAGAGGGGGGATGGGATGGGAGGTGGGGGTTTGTTTGTGGGGTGGATGAGAGGAGGGAGAGCGGGAAAAATGTCATGAGCTACTGCAAGAAATAAGGGGTGAGGAGGCAAACTGATGAGAAAAGGAATGCAGCAGTCTTAATCCCATCAAACTACCAGCATTTCCCCCATCCATTTCCCCATCCTCCCCCCTTTTTCCCTTCACCCTTCCACATGCTTCTCCTCCATCTCCTCGGCGGGGATGCTAAACTTTTGGACTCACTTTTTCTCCTTTGGCTCAATCGTCCTCAATCATCCCTCGTGCAGAGTGCATGAACGCTCTGTGAGTGCAGAGTGCATAAACGTACATCATCATGGCTTCTACTTCACTCTGCACTGCTTCCTGGTGCTTTTTTTCTCGTCCTGGGAATACCACTTCCCACCCCTCACCTGCCCCCAGCCCTTGTACATGGCTTTCCCTCACCTCCCCACTGCACTGTTTCCCGCTGCTGCTGCTCACACTCTAGCACTAATATCCCATCTTTCTTCCTCCTCCCCTCGCTTCTCCTGTTCTGATGCAGTGATTATGTGCTCTTTCTTGAAAGAAGAAGCCTTGTACCGTATCATAAACCACCAACTGGTCTTTCGCAATTGTGCCCATGTGCAATATTTCTTGCACTTGTACCGATGGTAGAAGAGTGATTTAAATGTTTGACGTTGTGATGCAGATATAATAAGCTGAAATTCTATATATTTCTTAGCATGGCACGATGTGGAATATGTATACACGTTTCTGTATACACAGAACTCTTCCATTTTCTTCGTCATTAGGGTGCAGCGGGGCGAAGTGTAGCGCTTACGGAGTCTCGATTTTGTCGCTCCCTACCTTCTGCAAAACCTAACTGCCCAACCTGCTGCCCAGGTTCGATCGCAACTTATTCTATGTGCTATGGTATGGTGGACAGTACCCCGTGGTTTTCTCTAGGCCTTGACATTAGGTTCGGTAGACCACATAGCGCTCGCTGAATCTCTCGTCGGCTCCGAACCTGAGCTATTTCCCGCCTCATTCGAATCTCGCGTCGCACTCGGTGCTCCCGATTGCGGCGGACGCTAGAGCATAACCCGGTTTCAAGCGACCCTCCTCGCTGGCACATAAGATACACGTGTTACACTCTGAATCGTCGCTGTAAAAATGGAATATCGTTCGACACCCGATACCCCCAAGGCCAGCCGACGATATCGCCATGGGCTCCGATTCGATCGTCGCCTCGCAAGCCCATGCCACAGCAGCGACCATCGGGGGGTTCCATTGCTTGCCTCGTTCCCCGTGCCAGCCTCCCACCCCTCTCGTCGCATTCCCTCTCTCATCCGCTTCACACTCGACGCATATCGAAGTCGCAGCACCCACCATTCAGAAACACTACAAATAGGTCGCTGGAGTTTCTGTTTCATTCATCAGTCTCGACTAAAGCCGCTTGCTACCTAGCTTGACCTCGAGTTTCTATCGACTCGTGCTCCCTTCGCTACCAGCTGTAAAAGTCTTCTCAAGTGCTCAGTGTACTCAGCGAACTCGTCGCGAAAGCTTGTCGTAACCTTCCTACTCTCCGTCCGTCAGCAACATGGCCTGCGTCGGTGCTGAGAATGCCTGCGTGGACGCCGACGCTCTGTTCTCGAGCTGCTGGGAGGAAAATTACTCCCTCTCTCGCTTCGTTTGCAGCATGATTTCAGCTCCACGCCTGGTAAGAACCACTTCCGCCAAGGATTTCCCTTCAGTTCTCGCAAGCCCTCGTCTTCTTTACCAGCAATGTGCTGTTCATATGTGTCATCTTTTGTTTGCTGGTTATGTCATGACGCTCTCATGCCGCTTCTCGTAAACAGCAACTAACCTATCTCTCTTTTCTCCTGCAGGCTGTCTCCAGTTGGATCAGGTCGTGCGAGCAAGCATCAGTGGAGGTGCAATCGGTTCCGGCTCTTCCTGTTGTCGCTCTTCCTGTTGTCGCTCTTCTGGAAGAAGCTGTGTCAACGGAGGCAGAGGGAGAAACCGTCCACAATCCCACTGAGGCTGGCAAGGCGGACGCTGCAACTGTGACTGTTGCCGTTTCGAACCAGGCTGAGGAAGGAAAGAAACCGGCGGAATTGAAAAAGAAAGTGACTTCGTTCCTGGAGCTGCTCGCTCAAGAAGACTCACTTGCTTCACCCTCGGTTAAGGCTGTTGCTTCCTCAGCCAAGGTTGCGGCCTGGTTGGGTGTGGAAGCTGGATCAGAGCAGGGTGGGAAGGAGGGAGCAGAGGCGAGCAGCGGGTGGTGCAGCTTGAGTCGCAGTGAGAGCAGCTGCAGCAGCCGCAGTGCGTGTCTCATCCACCTCTCCCCGGACTCCTCCTCCTCTTCCTCCTCTGCTGATAGCCTCTGCAACAGCCGCACTGGCTTGACGAAGGAGGTTGCTGGTGTGAAGAGGGGGACTGGCCGAGGCGTTTCCAGGATTGGGAAGGGATGCTCTCTGTCCACTGCTTACCATTTCACTGAGCTCTTGGCAGCTGAGGAAAAATCAGTGAAGAGTGGGATGGATAAGGACGTTTTATGCAATGGAAAGGACTGGAGCATGGAGGTGAAGGGGTTTGGGAAGGTGGAGGAAGGACGGATGGTCTCAAACCAGTTGTTTGGGTGTGATTATGGGGAGGAAGAGGAGGAGGAAGAGGATGGCAGTAGCAAGCAAAGTTTCAGGACCCTTGGGACTGGAACGATGTGCTACATGAATCAGCTGTATATGGATGAGGAAGAGGAGGAGGAAAGGGAGGCGTTGGCAGCATCAGGTATTTCGGTAGGCATCGGCAGGTACGGTGCCAGGCGCAGAATCACTGGCTCTAGCAGCCGGGTCACCCTCCGCAGAATGAGCAGTGTGCTTCGCCAATACTAGGACATGACAGTATAAAGTGGTTAGAGTTTAGAGTAGCAGCTGTGGCTGGAGCCAGAGTAACTGGACTGCCAGAGTAGATGGCATGCCTCCAGAACCTGGTTTTGTAATTTATACATTTGTACACGTTTTGTTTGTCACTAGACCAGTCGATCATGCCTAATCACATGAATTTCCCTGCACGAAGTAAACTCCTCTGTCAATGCTTCAGTTCAGAATGAACCAACAGACGAGGTACCGTATCGTATGCCTTTCTTTGAGAACGGGCTGCAGCAGTGCGACACAGTGACCTTATTAAGGTACGGTACACTTTTCGCACAATCCCTTCACCCATGAATGTTGCTTGCTTCTATTTACTGGTAAAGCATGTCGTATCATAACAAGGAAGTGAGCCTTGTTGAATTGAACAGTCAGGGCTTCAAGCCAGTCTGCTTTGATCAACAACTGTAAAGAAGTATGCTTATACTGAAACCAATGCTGCAAAGCTCTGTGTGCTTCTATCGGTAGCGCTGCTTGAAGAGAGAATGCCTCTTTGCTGGATCCTTGGGCTTTGCTGCCCCTCTCCCTGCTCCCGCTCCTCCCCTTCCCCCACCCCTGCCAGTGCTGTTAGGTGAAAGGCAACCGGAAGAGAAGGATGATGTGGCGAGAGAACTCAAATAAGACAAAGGACAGAAACTGCTTACTACACTTCATTTGGGAAACCTCAAAGACGCACCTCATGCATCCCATATTGAACAACACATTTGAGCTCAACTACACCTTGTGTATTTCAAAATGGGTACATATACCGTAGTACACCTGTACTCTTGTAAGCTCCACGTCTCACTCTGCACTCATGGAACATCCAAGTGTTTTATCCCCCATACCAGGTACCTGCCTGCACTCCCTGCACAAGCTGCAACCTCACCCCACCTGAACTCCATGTATGACCGCGCCTGCGCGCCTTACATGGTGCTCGTGAAAGAAGCGGTGTGCCTCACGATGGTCTAAGATAGATCCACACGCCATGACAATAGATCCAATCCACATGTAATTGAAGTCCACCCACCTGAACTCCATGTAAGACCGCCCTTGGGCGCCCGACACGGCGCTCATGGAAGCAGCGGAGCGCCTCACGATGGTCAACCATAGACCCACATGCCATGACCATGGGTCCACATGACATGATGGGCTGTAGATCCACATGTACGACCGCCCCTGCGCGCCGGACATGGTGCTCATGGAAGCAGCGGTGCGCCTCACGATGGTCGATGATAGATGCACATGCGACATGTTGACTGACCAAGGGTCCACATGTACTTGAGTGGTCACACACCTGAACTCCATGTAAGACCGCCCCTGAGCGCCGGACATGGCGCTCATAGAAGCAGCGTAGCGCCTCACGATGGTCAAGGCGCTCAGAGGGACGATCACATGATTCGCTAATACATACACATCCCTTTGCTCATGTCCCACTGTACCTGAACTCCATGTAAGAGCGCCCCTGCGCGCCGGACATGGCGCTCATGGAAGCAGCGGAGCGCCTCACGATGGTGGGCACGTGGCTCAGGTCGTCATAGTCCTCTGCTAGCACCTCCTCCCTTAGTGCCTCGTCTCCTGCGCTGAGGACCTGGTGAAGGGGGAAGGGAAGACAGGAAACAACCCATTAGGGGAGGGGCCTCACGATGGTGGGCACGTGGCTCAGGTCGTCATAGTCCTCCGCTAGTACCTCCTCCCTTAGTGCCTCGTCTCCTGCGCTGAGGACCTGGTGAAGGGGGAAGGGAAGACAGGAAACAACCCATTAGGGGAGGGGCCTCACGATGGTGGGCACGTGGCTCAGGTCGTCATAGTCCTCCGCTAGTACCTCCTCCCTTAGCGCTTCATCCCCTGCGCTCAACACCTGGTGACGGGGGGAGAGAGAGGGGAAGGGAACACAAACTCAGAAGGGCAAGGGCCGCTGGTCGGCACGTGGCTCAGGTCGTCATAGTCCTCTGCTAGCACCTCCTCCCTCAGTGCCTCGTCTCCTGCGCTCAGTACCTGGAGGGGGGGAACACGAGAGCACATGAGATGCGCAAAGAGGCACGCGGCTCAGATCGTCATAGTCCTCTGCCAGTACCTCCTCCCTTAGCGCCTCATCTCCTGCGCTGAGAACCTGTAGGACGAAGAAAGGGGGGCACAGGCACACATGGCTCAGATCGTCATAGTCCTCTGCCAGAACCTCCTCCCTCCGTGCCTCGTCTCCTGCGCTGAGCACTTTAAGAAATGGCACAAAGAGACGTGATAAGCAGGATACCGCCACTAGTCCCATGCCACATACTGAAGACAGAGAGAGGGCACTCACCGTGGAGAGCAGATCAAGCTGCTCCTGCTTGGACGTGTAGCAGAGGTGGTTCCGAGATGATCTTGCCTTGACATGCGTGAAGCCTGATACTGACATGCGTAAAGCCTGATACTGACATGCGTAAAGCCTGATACTGGTGCCCTTCACTCACAGCACAGAGCAATTTGACTCACGGTGGAGAGCAGATCAAGCTGCTCCTGCTTGGACGTGTAGCAGAGGTCGTCCCCCTCCCCTGGTGGGGGCAGCGATGTTACCACCTTTGTGGTATGGGTAGAGGCAGGAGTGTTGGGATGGATGGTGGGATGGTGGGTGAGACGGAACATGACACGTGGCACATGGTGGATGGCACATGGTGGATGGCACATGGTGGATGGCACATGGTGGATGGCACATGGTGGATGGCACATGGTGGATGGCACATGGTGGATGGCACATGGTGGATGGCACATGGTGGATGGCACATGGTGGATGGCACATGGTGGATGGCACATGGTGGATGGCACATGGTGGATGGCACATGGTGGATGGCACATGGTGGATGATGCATGGTGGATGGTGCATGGTGGATGGCACATGGTGGATGGTGCATGGTGGATGGTGCATGGTGGATGGCACATGGTGGATGGTGCATGGTGGATGGTGCATGGCACATGGTGCATGGTGCATGGTGGATGGGGGCTGGTGCATGGAGGATGGCACATCACAACCGGTACATGATACATGGCTGCCACATGCTGTAAGAATTTAAGAAAATCCTCAACTTTCTGCATAGCAGCAGCAGTGTGTGTGTGTGTGTGTGTGTGTGTGTGTGTGTGTGTGTGTGTGTGTGTGTGTGTGTGTGTGTGTGCGCGCATTACCTTGAAGGAGTAACCTTGATCAATGAGGAATTGTTGCCTCTTGGACGAGTAATACATCTCCTGCTCATACCAGCACACACATACACGCACGCACAAGCCCACAAACACGCACGTACAAGCACACACAAGCACATAAAAGCACTTTGATGAGTAAATATGCAAAGCCATATCCTGAAGGAGGTAACAGGTGACAAGATAACCTCTTGACGACCAAAACACCACTCATTTGTTGAAACCGCCTGAAGAATCACCTGCATGTCACTTGACAGAGGCGAGTAGAAGAACGTGTTGCTGTGCTCTCCGTGCCACCCCCCACGCGGTCCTCCTTCCTCAACTCCGGGCCCTGTTGAAACCACCTGGAAAATCACCTGAGTGTCGGTCGAGACCAGCGAGTAGAAGAACGCGTTGTAGTGCTCCGTGCCCCCAGCCATCCGGTCCTCCTTCCGCCCCTTGGCCCTAAAAAACTGCCTCCATATACATTTGTTGAAAACACCTGATGTATCACCTGAGTGTCGGTCGAGACCAGGGAGTAGAAGAACGCGTTGTAGTGCTCCGTGCCCCCAGCCATGCGATCCTCCTTCCGCCCCTTGGCCCTCAGAATGCGCCCCAGCCGCTGCGCCTCCTGCCGCCTCGACCCCGCGTGGGATGAGATCTGGATGATCACGTTCGCCTCGGGAATGTCAATCGAGTTGTCCCCCACCTTTGGTGGGATGGGAGGGAGGAGGGGAGGAGTGGATCAGTGAAGAGTGGCGCAGGGGGAAACAGAGGGAAATGCCACTTAGAGACGATGAAAGCCGCCCCAACTGCTGCGCCTCATGCCGCCTCGACCCCGCGTGGGATGAGATCTGGATGATCACGTTCGCCTCTGGAATGTCAATTGTGTCCCCCACCTTTGGTTGGGATGGGATGGGATGGTGGAAAAGAGTGGTGGGTTGGGATGGGAGGGGATGGGATGGGAAGGAGACGGCGAGCGGAACAGAAGCGTGAAGAGGCGAGGGGGGGATGGAAGCATTGTCATCTGGATACACAGGCTCCCAACCCAAGGGGGTGCTTTGTGTTGGAATAGCAGATGCACGCGTACAAGGAAGAAAAGCACCTTCGGGCTGTTCACTGTGCAGAGAGAAAGACGGTGTTGACATTGGGGCTGTTCTTGAAGGCATAGAGCATCGCAAGAGGAGACGCACGTCAGGGGGTTGGTTTCTGTGGGAATGATTGAGAAGGCATGTGTACAGGGAAGGAAGGAGATACCTTGGAGAGGAAAACCGTGTTGACGTTGGGGCTGTTCTTGAAGGCATAGAGCACCCGGGTGCGATTTGTGTGGATGAAGCTGAGTGAGTGAGGGTAACAGCAGGTTGTGCATGGACGGTACTCCAAGGTACAGCATGGAAACAAAGGGGGTACCTTGGAGAGGAAGACCGTGTTGACGTTGGGGCTGTTCTTGAAGGCATAGAGCACTCGGGTGCGATTTGTGTGGATGAAGCTGAGTGAGTGAGGGTAACAGCAGGTTGTGCATGGACGGTACTCCAAGGTCCAGCATGGAAACAAAGGGGGTACCTTGGAGAGGAAGACGGTGTTAACGTTGGGGCTGTTTTTGAAGGCATAGAGCACTCGAGTGCGCTCTGCATGGCTGGAGGGGAAGAAGGGAGAAGGAGAGGAGGGGTTTGTGAGGCATAGAGCAACTAGGTTGTCTCAAACGAAACGGCAGCCCTATTAGCAGTATTTGAAGCGCGTCACTTTGAGGCGCCTCAAAATGCGCGTCACCAGCCACACACACACCTGGTGGGGCCGTAAAGCATGGGCTTGTTGAGCTTCCTGGCATACTGCTCCAGAGAAAACAGGTTGTCCGAAAACACGATGATCTTGTCTCGCCTCATGTTCTTGTTCAAGCACAAGTCTCACCTGGTAGGCCCGTGCATCACCTGGTGGGAACGTAGATCATGGGCTTGTTGAGCTTCCTGGCATACTGCTCCAGCGCAAACAGGTTGTCCGAGAACACGATAATCTTGTCCCGCTGCTGCTCCTCGTGAAGAACCAGAGAAGCATGCTGTTCTCATTCACAAGTCTCACCTGGTGGGGCCGTAGATCATGGGCTTGTTGAGCTTCCTGGCATACTGCTCCAGAGCAAAGAGGTTGTCCGAAAACACAATGATCTTGTCCCGCCGCTGCTCCTCATGGAAGCGAATCAGGTACTCGCACGCGCGGAACTTGTTGGGGTTCATCACGTACAGACCCTGGGGGAGGGAAGGAGGAGGGGAGGGAGAGAGGGGCACATGCGCGTTAGGCGACGTGGGGTTGATTGAGAGGAGTGCATTGCGTGAACGTGCGACAGGTGGCTCAACGGTTGCCTTGCCACTGTATGAAATGATCTTGTCCCGCCTCTGCTCCTCATGGAAGCGAATCAGGTACTCGCACGCGCGGAACTTGTTGGGGTTCATCACGTACAGACCCTGCACGGCGGGAAGGAGGGGGTTTGCTTTTGAGACCTCTAAGATTTCACCTGTGCAGACAAATTGATCGCCCGAGGGAAGAAAGAGGGATGTCTCAAAGAGGGAGCGGCCAAGACGATTCCTCTCATCAAAGACAGTGCGAACGTGGGAATGGGTAGTGAGGGTTAGAGTGAGAGAAGACGAGTGTGGGGGGCAAGCGAGATTGTGCACAAAGCCGATGCCCGTTCCCCAGCCCTGCTTCTGAATTATAGCCAGAAGCCCCTAGTGGCCACCTCATACTCTTGCATGCACGCAAGCTTGCCCCTATTAAGCCAAGTCACCCTTTAAGCCCTAGATCCCTTGCAAGCGGGTACATGCCAAGGCCGATGTCTCCTGTCACTTAAAGCCCATCCCCATGTCACCTGTCTCTTCCTTGCGTCTGCTCAGACGTATTCCGCGTAGAACTCGCGAGTCATGGGGCACCACACCTGGTGGGGCGAGATGGGGTATGTGCCACACACGCATGCATGCACATACACCCTTGCACCACCCTTGCGTGCACCATCCTAGATCTACAACAGCCACCTCACCTGTCGCTTCCGTGCGTCTGCTCGGATGTTCCGCATAGAAGTCGGGAGTCATGGGGCACCACACCTGGTCTGGTCGGATGGGGTATGTGCCACGCACCCATGCATGCACACAGATACAGCCCTTTAAAGCCAATGTCACCTCACCTGTCGTTTCCTTGCATCGGCTCTGATGTACTCTGCGTAGAACTCGCGGGTCATGGGACACCACACCTGGTGGGATGGGGTATGTGCCACGCACGCACATGCAATGCACACATGCAGGTACGCAGACATACACACGTGCACACACAAGATGACACACACACGACACAGAACATGCATGCACAAGATGATACACACACGACACAGAACATGCACACACACATGACACACACACGACACAGAACATGCATACACACATGCACGCACATACAAACAGAGGTGAGGAGCATAAAGAAAACATTGCTGGCAGCTTTTGAGGTGCCTATAAAAAACAACGATTTGAGAGGCCGCACAGGTAGGCTGCTAGCATCCTCCTTCAGAGCCGTTTCGAGGGGCTTCACCCCCCCCCCCCCCCTCTTCCCCACAGTTGATGATGCACCCCTCTCGCACCAGTTGTTTAAAGTAGTGTTTTGAGACGCCTCAAAACATTGCACGTTGGCGATGTATCCCCCTCGCACCAGGTCCAACCAGTTGGCCTCTTGCCCTACAGCTGAGGCAAATCCCTTTCTATATTATCGTCACACTCTCACCTCCACCTTCATTATTCTCACACCCACCCACTACTAGACTCTCACCTTAACGCATTGAACGTTGGCGATGTACCCCCCTCGCACCAGGTCCAGCCCGTTGGCCTCATACAGATGGGAGGATGGTGAATGAGACACCTGCTACTACCAGTGCAACGCACCCACCTACCCACCCAGTACAGTCTGTATAGAGCTGCGTCTCACCGCACCCCCTACTCACTTCCACACATTGCACGTTGGCGATGTACCCCCCTCGCACCAGGTCCAGCCCGTTGGCCTCGTGCGGCAGGTGAGAGACCTGCTAACACCTCAGCAGCCCTACAGGTGACACCCACCGTATAGTATCCCCACATTTCTCTCTCACCTCAACGCACTGCACGTTGGCGATGTACCCCCCTCGCACCAGGTCCAGCCAGTTGGCCTCGTACAGTTTGGGACCAATCAGGAAGTTGAGATCTGCAATTAGCTCGTCCTCTCTCACCAGCGTGGCTGGGGAGATAGGGGGGTAAGGGGGGAGAAGAGGGGAGGAGGTGAGTCAACGCTTGTTGACTTTGTGGAATTGACTTGTGTTGACTCACTTTGTGACTTGCGTTGACTCACCTGTTGACTTGCGTTGACTCATCTGTTGACTTGCGTTGACTCGCCTGTTGACTTGCGTTGACTCATCTGTTGAATTGCGTTGACTAACATGTTGACTTGCGTTGACTAACCTGTTGACTTGTGTTGACTAACCTGTTGACTTGCGTTGACTAACCTGTTGACTTGCGTTGACTAACCTGTTGAATTGCGTTGACTAACCTGTTGACTTGCGTTGACTCACCTGTGAGGCCCAGCTTGCAGTGCGACTTGGTGATGCCAATGACCTTCCGGAACATCTGAGCTGGCACCACGTGCACCTGACACGTCAGCATGGGGGGCACATGCATAAAAATCACATGTCAAATACATAGAGTGATAAAAGGAAGCAGCCGCCTTGCAGTCACAAGTTGGCAGACACAAAAATATTTCTCCGCTCACATCTTGGCAGAGTAAGGATCAGACAAGACGAAAGAGGAATTTCAGCCCCCTCAACCATGTGCCAGTTAATCACATACACTCCCCCCCTTCCCCTCTCCACACCCCACCACATCACATCATATCCCATTCAACCGCACTGCACCTCGTCCATGAGCAGCAAGCCCCACTCGCGTGATCGGATGGCTTCGATGATCTTATTCGATTCTGCCGACCGCTTCCCTCCGAATGCAATCATGTTGAACGTTGTCACCACAATACCTGCATCGCCCTGTGTGCATAGAATGAAATGAGGGAGTGAACGGGTGAGTGAGTGAGTGAGTGAGTGAGCAGGTGAGTAAGGAAGTGAGACACTAGTTGCGGTGATCATTGAGTCGACTCAAAAGTAATCCAGCCTGGCACTGCTTCCCTCCGAACACAAGCATAAACGTGGTTACCAAGTTGCCCGCATCGCCCTGCTCGTGAACAAACGAATGATACAGCAAGTGGACAGTGGGTGAGAACGTAGTTGGGTGAGTGAGAATTAGTCAGGTAAGTGAAAGGCATCTTGAACTGCGGGCACGCACCAATCGCCCACCAACGCTGCATTGGTCCTTGACTGACTTGACAAAAAAACGGTTTGGTAGCCAGCACGGAAATGCATCTGTTCTGCAAGGTACCAATCGCCCTTGGTGGTATGGAGGTACTTGGAACTTCTCCTTGGTGTCCGATGTGAATTGGGAGATATGCTGATTCTTAATCGTGGACCACATCTTGAACTGCAGGCACCACTGATCCACCGACACGACACTGCAGCCGTCCTTATGCTGACCCGACTCAGCATATCGTGTCACTGATGCTGATCCTTATGGTGACACTGATATGCTGACCCGACTCAGACATGGAATGGTTGCAGGGACATGCACGAACTCACCTGGAACATCTCCTTGGTGTCAGAGGTGAATCTTGAGATATGTTGATCCTTGATCGTGGACCACATCTTGAACTGCAGGCACCGCTTATCCACACCGACACTGCGTGTGGCGCCTCAGAAACACACCCACGCAACTCACATAGAACTTACCAGAAAATACCGGCGTAATGCAACTCACCTGAAACATCTCCTTGGTATCAGAGGTGAATCTCGAGATATGTTGATCCTTGATCGTGGACCACATTTTGAACTGCAGGCACCACTGATCCACCGACACTGCATTGGTCGCCAGGCACAGGCAGCTCTTTCGAATGCGCACCGCTGCTGACACTCCCACCAGGGACTTTCCTGCACCGCAGGGCAGCACTATGATGCCTGAACGCGCTCGACCTGAGACACAAAGGGAGGGAGGGAGAAAGGGAGAGGAGAAGCAGAGAAGAATGAATGAGACGAGAGTTCTGAGAGTAGGCACTGCATTGGTCGCCAGGCACAGGCAGCTCTTTCTGATGCGCACCGCTGCTGACACTCCCACCAGGGATTTGCCTGCACCGCACGGCAACACAACGATGCCTGAGCGCGCTCGACCTGGGGCACAAAGGGAGGGAAAAAGGGAGAGGAGAAGCAGAGAAGAGAAGAATGAATGAGATGAGGGTTCTGTCAGTGGGCACTGACGATGGCAACAGAGAAAAGGCAGCTCTTGCGAATGAGCATGGCTGCTGACACGCCCACCCACCACAAGGGATGTGCATGCACCGCAAGGCATGTGGAATAGGGAGGGGAGGGAGGCAGACTAAGCGTTTCTGTTACATCACGGTCACTGTCAGAATTTCTGTTACATCCCCATCACCGTCAGAGTTTCTGGTTGGCAAAAAAAAAAAAAAAAAACCATCTCTCATCTCACCGTTGCCAAACATCTTGCTGAGGCTCTTCTCTTGATACGGCCGCAGCTGCGCATGTGGCTTTAACTCGACATCCACGTCTGGATTCACCTGCACGCATGCATGCATGAATCAGTGCAACACTTAGCAACTGGTCATGTGGCCGTGTAGCAACTCTTGGTACGGCCGCAGCTGAGCATGTGGCTTTAACTCCACATCCACGTCTGGATTCACCTGCATACATGCGTACATAATGCGTTGTGTAAATAAACAAACTCCAAAATGCGACACAAACATGCTCTTATTGTGGCTTGCTTGCTTGCTTGCGTGCGTGCGTGCGTGCGTGCGTGCGTGCGTGCGTGCATGTGTGCATGTGGGTACACTCCTCTGCCCATACCGAGTCGTTTCTGAAGTCATATTCTTCCAGCATGGGGTAGTTGAGGGCATGTGGATGCATACATGTGTGCATGTGTGCATGTGAGTGTTTGCCATACCGAGTCGTTTCTGAAGTCGTATACCTCCAGCATGGGGGGTAGTTGAGGGCGTTGGGAAGGCATTGCACACAGGAGTGTGCATGCGGGTATGGGCATGCAGGAGTGGGCGTGTGCATGTGGGTACATACCGAGTCATTTCTGAAGTCGTATTCTTCCAGCATGGGGTAGTTAAGGGCGTTCGGGAGACACCTCTGCTTCACACACTCCACCTGTGCACCGAAGAGAAATCAAAGTCAAAAGGAGGATAACGTAGAAAATTAATGCACACAAAAACAAACAACAATGTAACAAGTAGGTTAATGTATTGTGCCTGCGCACTTGCGGCATCTCAACCCGTGGAGCGCAAATGGTAGATGCACAAAGCTCGATCCATCCCCCATTCTCAACGCATCAGCCTCACAATCGTTTCCTCCAACAAAAAACTAGTGAGTGGCGGATATCCAACGAGAAGATCTCAACTTAACATCGCCTCTCATCCATCCACCACCCACCCCCATCCACCACCCATCCCATTCCACCCCACATCGGCCCCATAAAGGCAGGAGTGCGCACAAAAAGAAGCGCAAAGAAGTAAGATTCCTTCTCGTCCCCTCCCCTGCCTACGTTAAGGAACGGGCAAGAGGCAGCAGGCCTATAGCACACCTGACCTACCTATAGCACACATACCTGAGAGGGGTCGATCTCAAAGGAGTGGAACTCCCCATCGTCCCCTCCCCCGCCCACGTCGCCCCCCTCGGCCTCCCCCGCCCCCATGAGCGCATGTGTGAGTGAGAGCTGCTGCTGACCCAACACACCAGACACAGCGCACCCGACCAGACCCAACACACCTGAGAGGGGTCAATCTCAAAGGAGTGAAACTCGCCGTCGTCCCCTCCCCCGCCCACATCGCCCCCCACATCCTCCCCTGCCCCCATGAGCGCATGCGTGAGCGCTGCTGCTGACCCGTCTGCTGCCCCCCCCTGCTGCACTGCAAACGCGTCCCCTGCTCCCTGCAGCACGTACCACCACCACAGGTTACATGTCGTTAGTTTGAACACACTCAAATCATCGGCACACATGCACGACACTGGGGAACACTGGAAGCTAGTAGGGCTAGGAAAGCAAGCAACACACGTGGCAAGCAGCACACATGGCAAGCAGCACACTTGGCAGGCAAGGAGCACACATGGCAAGCAGCACACGTGGCAAGCAGCACACGTGGCAAGCAGCACACATTATTATCGCACTCGTATTGCAACCACATTTTAACACGTCCCAAAACACAAAAACGCATGCGCGCGCCCCCCCCCCCCCCCCCACCCCCCACACACACACATGCCTGAGCATTGACAGCTGGCAAGATTCTGGCTCGGCGAATCACATCGTCTCTCAGAAGCTCCCGCAACACCTGCACAAGAGACAACACAGTAAACAGATGCAGCACATAAGGAGACAGAGAAAGAGCACAGTCAAGATGAGGAACAGAGCACAGCAGAGTGCAGCATAGCACAGCACAGCAGTCATGCTTCGCACATCCACATGCATGGGGTTTCGCTGCAGCCTGCAGCAGGTGTGGGTGAACCGTGAGAGTGTGCGCATGCACACTTGCAGGCGCAGTTGCGAGCGCGTGTGCGCGACTCACAGTGCTCTGGCTCAACTCAACAAAGTCCTTTGCTCTTCCCTTTGGAACCAAAGATCGTATTTGGGTACGGCGACTTGAACGAATTCCCGGAATTCTGAGTGGATTCACTAGCTTTACCTTAACCTTAACTTGCCGTATGGAAACTCACACTATAAGTCGCATGGTGGCTCACATTGGGGTAGGGCGATTCGACGAAGTACTTGTTGCGCTGCAGCACCAGCTTCACTTTGCCGTAGTTCTGAGTAGACTCGCGAATAAAGGTGATGATGTCAGGGGAGAGCTTGGTCTTGGAGAGACGGTCGAGCACTGATATGATTGTGTTGGTGTCTAGACCCACTGAGACCGCTGCGTAGAGGGAGTGGGGCGTGAGATTGTACTCGTGCACATTCTCTGGACTGGGGAAGAGAGGAGGGAGGGAGGGAGGTACAGGGTACGATGTCAGTCAGCAGTAGCTGAGAGCTTGGTCTTGGAGAGGCGGTGGAGCACTGAGATGATTGTGTTGGTGTCTAGACCCACTGAGACTGCTGCGTAGAGGGAGTGGGGAGTAAGATTGTACTCATGCACGTTCTCGGGACTGTGGAAGTGGGGGGAAAAGTGGGGAGGGGCGGCAGGGAAGGAAAGTACAGCGCATGATGTCAGCAGGGAGCCTGGTGTTGGAGAGACGGAGGAGCAGTGAGATGATTGTGGCGGTGTCTAGACTAGACCCACTGACACTGCTGCACAAAGACACCTCCACAATCCATGGGTAGAGAATGCAGCGTGAGGTTGTTGTACTCACACACACACCCCAGGAGTAGGAGAACGAACACTCACCACCGGCACACAGGTTTTGCGATGGCGATTGGGAAGTTATAGGCGTGCTTGAAGAGTGGCGAGTAGGTCTCGAGGATGATGCACGCTGAGTGGTAGACAGGCAGCCACACAGTAACATGCATCAACAACACACCCCAGAACTAGGAGAGCGAACACTTACCGGCACACAGGCTCAGCGATGGCGATCAGGAAGTCGTAGGCGTGCTTGAAGAGTGGCGAGTAGGTCTCGAGGATGATCCCCTGAGTGAGGGATAGACACTGACATGCCCCAAAACTGGAAAAGAAACAGAAGCAGCTTGTGTGTCCCACTCACCGGCAGACTGGCTCGGCAATTGCGATCAGAAAGTCGTAGGCGTGCTTGTAGAGGGGCGAGTAGGTCTCCAGGATGATTCGTCCGTCCGGACACACCCACATGGGTCGCTGCGAGTGGTCCTCCTTGAGATGCATCTTGGAGAAGTCCCGAAGGGCGTGACCCTCGTCAGAGGTCCCTTCTCCTGCCGCTGGTGGTCGTGGCAGGGAGGGCGGGAGGGGGGAGAAGCGTGGTGAAACAGTGAATTTGGCGTGCGTGCATCCCCACGCACACCCACACACCCACATGGGTCGCTGCGAGTGGTCCTCCTTCAGCAGGAAAGCAGGGAAAGGGGGGAGAAAAGGATGGTGAGAAGGTGAGTTCGGCCTGCGTGCGTGCATGCACACCACACACCCACATGGGTCGCTGCGAGTGGTCCTCCTTGAGGGGCAACTTGGAGAAATCCCGCAGGGCGTGGCCATCCTCTGACGTGCCCTCTCCGGCGGCTGGTGGTGGCAACGGTGCTGATGGGGAGAGAGGGATGATACACGGTGAAATGTGGTGTGCATGCAGCCGTCAGGGCACACCCACATGGGCCGCTGCGAGTGGTCCTCCTTCAATTGCATCTTGGAGAAATCGCGCAGAGCGTGACCCTCGTCTGAGGTTCCTTCTCCGCTGGTGGTGGCAGCAGCAGTATTGAGGAGAAGAGAGGAGGTGGGAAGGGAGAAGGTGGGAGAGGGAAGAGGGGGGGGGATGGGGGGGGGGGGGGGGGCGAGGAAGAGGGGAGTAAAAAAGGAGGCGTTAGAATCTGGAAAATCTACAAGGCAGCTTCAAATCTACAAGCCTTGTGTAGTGAGTCGATTTTTGAGTCGACTCAAAAATCGATTCAGATACCTAAGCCTTTAGCCATTCTGCTGCATTCACTTCTCACTCCATCCGATCCAATCTACTCTACCGTCGCACCCACCCGCTGCTGCCGGTAGCTATTCCCTACTCTCTACTGTCGTAACGAGTGGTCCGCCTATCGCTATTTGCATCGCCATTTCCTCGCGAAAACTAGCGCTGATTCGCACCGTACCGCCATGCCCGGCGTTGCTCACCGCTGATTCGCTGCGCGCGCAGCTCGTCATCCTCGTCAAGCACTAGAAAGTCGTCTTCGTCAACGTCAATGTCAGCACCGCCATCCATCGCTTCCGTCAAACTCTCGTCAAACGTTCGCGGCTTCGGTATTACTATTCGCAACTTGCTCGGGCACGATAACGGTAATCAGCGCCGAGCACGATGATTGGCGAAATTCCGTCAGCAGCCTGAAGCGGAATAGCTTGTAAAACAAACCATCTCTTTTAGAAAGTGCTATACTTCGTTATTGAAATTCGCGTTAGTCCACTATGCGTCATGCTATGAAGACGACCTTTATTATGGCTTTGTAACACTAGTAACGGATGAGCTCTTAGTCGGTTACATTTCCTGCCATTCAACCTTGCCCACTGAGGATTCCAGTGAAGTTATTGGGGCGTGTTTACATGTCACGACCTGACTTGCGACAAACCGAGGTCTCATTCCCAATGATTCGTCGCGTCGCGATTCTGCCCGAGTCATCTGACTAGCTGGGTGAAGCGAGTATCACACTTCTCTACTACTTTCCGGTACTACAAACACGACCTGCTTGCAGCATTCTTGTTTCGGTATTCCCGATGCCTCAATTGCGTTGCACGAGGTGAAGGGCAATCCTATCTGGTCCAGATACGTAACTGGTTATGGCGATCGCATCGCTGCTTCCTCATTCTCCTCCTCGGTTTCGAAGTTGAGTTCCTCAGCCGTTTGAGGCCATGGGTCGTGTGTCCGGGCTCATCCTCGTTATAGCGTTCTCCGCGTCCTTCTTCGCGGCTTTTAATTTCGTTACGATGCTTCTGGACAATTCAACAGCCGAGGTCTCTCACCGTCGATCCCTCCGTCACCCCTTTAGTGAAACTACGTCTAATAGCGCGAAGAAGGTTTCCGTTACGCGTCAGGTCCGCACCGGCAAACCCGACGGCCGCAGCTCCACGACATCGTCCGAATTGCCCGTCGTCAGCCGGCCAGCCGACACGGCGAACGGCAAGCGGTCAAACCGGCGAAACGGGCCGCTGCGACCGTTCCACGCGGCGATGACGTGCGACAGTTCGGGTTACAGCAAGTGGCAATCGCGAGTTATGTATTTCTATTACAAAAAATGGCAGCGCGAGCCTGGCGGGGAGGAGATGGGGGGATTCACGCGCGTGCTGCACACGGGGAAGGAAGACGAGCTCATGGGGGAAATCCCGACCTTCGTCGTCAATCCGCTGCCGCCGCAGCAACAAACGGTGCCACGGGGTAACGGGGATGGATGGATGGGTGGATGGGTGAGGTGATGGGTGGATGAATGGTGGTTTCAGGGGCGTGATTGGGGTATGAATTTCGGTTGAATGGATGCCGTGCGGCCGTGCTGTCAGGGGGTGAATGACAGATGGGATGGGATGGGATGGGATGGGATGGGATGGGATGGGATGGGATGGAATGGGATGGGATGGGATGGGATGGGATGGGATGGGATGGGATGGGATAGGGTGGGGTGGGATGGGATGGGATGGAATGGAATGGGATGGATGGGTTCGGATGGGTTCGGATGGGATACGATGAGATTCGTGCGTTGCCACACGAGGGATTATTGTGAGAGGTTTCAGCATTTCCAGGTGTGATTCGGGTCCAATATTCCCAAAATTTCCGTTTCTCATCCCTTGCCCACGTCACATGGCAGGACTATGTGGTTCTGAATCGCCCATACGCGTTCGTGCAGTGGATTCAGCAAGCCACCTTCCCTGAAGAGTAAGCTCCACATGCCGTCACATGCCGTCACATACCATCAAATATCACCACATGCCATCATCGCGTGCTGCTGCATGCTATCGCATGCCCTGGCATCCTCACATGTCACCACATGTCACCACATGTCACCACCGTATGTCACCGCATGTCACCGCATGTCACCACATGTCCCCACATGTCACCACATGTCACCGTATGTCACCGCATGTCACCGCATGTCACCACATGTCCCCACATGTCACCACATGTCCCGACACGTCACCACACATCACCACCCGTCACCACACGTCACCACATGTCGCCACATCTCGCCACGTCATCCCATGTCACCGCATGTCACCGCATGTCACCACATGTGATCACCACTCTCCAAAAACGCACCCCCTGCCCCTTACCCCACTCACCCCTTCCCCCATCCACCACCCCTTCCCCCACTCACCCCTTCCCCCATCCACCCCTTCCTCCAGTTGGTCCTGTGCTCGCGAGGTCTTCTTACACCATGCCCTTCTTTTCCCCTCTCCACAATCTTCCCTGCCCCACCTTCTCCCCTCTCCCCACTCCTTCACAGCTAAGTATGGATGGCGGAGCCAGACCATCTGATGCAGCGTGCGCCCCATCCCCAACCTCTTAGCAGGCGACATGCCCTCCGCCTTCCCCGTCCGCTCTCCCCGTGCTTCACAGCTACGTGGGGATGGCAGAGCCAGACCAGTTGGTCCTGTGCTCGCGAGGTCTTCTTACACCATGCCCTTCTTTTCCCCTCTCCACAATCTTCCCTGCCCCACCTTCTCCACTCTCCCCACTCCTTCACAGCTATGTATGGATGGCGGAGCCAGACCATCTGATCCTTCACCCCATCACCAACCTCTCAGTGGGTGACAACATGACCTCCGCCTTCCTTTTCCCCTCTCCCCGCCCCATGCTTCCCCCCCCCACACCGTCATAGCTACGTATGGATGGCGGAGCCAGACCATCTGATTCTGCGCCCCATCCCCAACCTTTCAGTGGGTGACATGCCATCAGCCTTCCCCTTTCACTACATTGAACCCGCCAAGAATAAAGGTAAGGGGAAGGGCCTCCAGGGGTTGCCACTTTTATCGCGGAAAGCCATGGGTGGTTTGTACAATCTTGGCGGAAAGCCATGTGGGTCACATGCCGTTCGCTCGCCTGTTCCTTCCACTGCTAGATCGGCCTTTTAAATCATGCACACACACGTTCATCTGTGCTCTCCCGCTCCCCACGTGCCGATCCTGTTCGACTTCATTCACTCGTTCGTGCATTTGTCCTGCCGCCACCATCATCAAAGGCACTACATCGATGCTCAAAGAGAAAAGGTCCCACCAACAAGATCGACGCTCAAACGCACACACGCTCGCTTCCCCTCCCCATCCACATGTCTCATCCCATCCACATGTCTCATCCCATCCACATGTCTCATCCCATCCACATGTCTCATCCCATCCACATGTCTCATTCCATCCACATGTCTCATCCCATCCACATGTCTCATCCCATCCACATGTCTCATCCCATCCACATGTCTCATCCCATCCACATGTCTCATCCCATCCACATGTCTCATCCCATCCACATGTCTCATCCCATCCATTCATATGTCTCTTGCCACCACCACCGCCAGAGGCACTGCACCGCTGGTTCCCTCCGGAAAAAGGCCCCATCAACAAGATCGACCCCATCGGCAACTCCCCCGTTATCATCCACAAGGTACCCTACTTGCCTCTCGCCCCATCCATAGTGAGTTGACTTTTGAGTCAACTCAAAAGTAAACCATTAACAAGATTGACCCCATTGACAACTCCCCTGTCATCATCCACAAGGTACGTACCAGTTGCATTGCAGGCTGTTTGCTGATAAGGCTGACAAGGCTGCACGCATGCAGATATGACCGCTCCCCCCCCGCCCCCCCCCCTCTTCCCATCTTCTTCTCCCCTTCTCCCACCCACAGCACTATCTGCGTCGCCTCGCCCCGCTGTGGCATAACGTGACTCTCGAGATGAAGGCAGATCCAGTGGCTGACAAGGCGCATATGCAAATATTCCCCCCATTCTTCCTTCTTCCTCTTCTCCTCTTCTCTCCCCCACAGGGCCAGCTGCGTCGCCTCGCCCCGCTGTGGCACAACGTGACTCTCGAGATGAAGGCGGATCCAGTGGCTGACAAGGCGTTTGGATGGGTGCTGGAAATGTGTGTGAGTGGTGTGCGAGTGGTGTGTGTGAGAGTGCATGGGGTGAGTGTGAGAGTGAGTGCATTAGTAGTAACGAGCATGACCCAGAGCCATCTCTCACCTCGTGCCTTTGTTATAAAATGCTTAAGAACTGCTCCCTCTTGCCCTCCCCCTTTTCCTCCCCCCGCCTCCCCTTGTCCCCTCTCCTCCTCCGCTTTGTCACCCCTCTGCTTCCTTTCCCCCTCCCTTCCCCCCATCCCTTACTCCTCCCCCTCTCCTTAATCTCTTCCAGGTACGGTTATGCCACGTCAGCTGCTCTGTTGGGGATACAGCACACTCTACACCGCATGTGGATGATCCAGGTGGTTATTTGCGCGCTTCAGGTGGTTTCACAGATGTATCAGGTGGTTTTAGGCCTCGTTCAGGTGGTTCCGGGGGTAGCTGTTTGACCACGTGCATGATAATGGTAACGGCGCCACTGCTACTGCGTTTGTTTATTGATTGGAATCTACATACACTCAAACTGCTTTCATTGTTAGTGCTTACTTGTATTACCTCGTCCCTCATTCGTCGCGTGGAGAGCCGAGTCAGCCAGACATAACGTTTTCCTTCTCCAAGAGTTGGAAGAGTTTCAACCGCAGCAAGCCTACGGGTCGCAGCAAGCCTACGGAATGCATTTTTTCTTTGTTTTACTCGCGCTTCACAAATATTGATTGTTGCCATCCTTATTACCTACCTGACTTGGCTTTCTGCCTCCTACGCGTTTCTTACCAATTTCTCTCCACCCCTTCCTTACATGGTGCATGGGGCATGGGGCATGCTGCATGCTACGTGATGCATGGTGCATGGTCCATGGTGCATGGTGCATGGTGCATGGGGCATGGGGCTTGGTGGTGCATGCTGCATTCTGCGGGCTGCATGGTGTGTGCTGCATGGTGCATGCTGCGTGCTGCATGGTGCATGGTGCATGCTGCGTGCTGCATGGTGCATGGTGCATGCTGCGTGCATGGGGCATGGGTGGGCATGCCATATACTGAGTGTTGCAGCCGCCATGGGATACTGAGCCCGGGGACTCCTACCTCATCCACTACACATACGGCTGTGACTTTGCCTTAAATGTATGTAACTGCACTTGTCACCTCATCCATTATATAACCACTGGTAACTTCTACCTTGAAGCAAGGAGTTTCAAATCCCAAGCTGTTCTGCATCTCGACCCTAACTCCAGTTCTGAAACATGGATATCCGTGGAGCAACTGCATCTGGGCAACTTAGTAACCACGTTGTAGTTCCAGCATCGTGAATATAACCAAATTGACCCTGATCGTGTTTTAAATTCTTTTGTGAAGTTGCAAATCAGTCTCAAATTTCTGCCTGAATGTCAGAGTATGAACTACTTTTTGGTGTGTGAATGTCAATTGTCAATTTCCCAGCTATCCTTTTTCCTTCCTGCTTTACCTCCTCACTCTTCATCTCAGGCAAAAGGTCACCCGAGCGGAGGTGGATACATAATACGTTGACAAACCATATGAAGAAGAAAAATAATCAGACAAACAAACAAACGCAACAGCACCTTTTCCAAACGTCTCATGACATTCTCCTTCCTGTTTTTCTTGCCTAAATGTTTCTTGCCTTTCATCACAGGGCACAATGACTCCAGGGGTGGTGGGTCCCTGGCACTTTGACAAGAGGGATTTCAACACAGCACCACCTCGCAACCTCTCCCTCCCACCCAAAGGGGCTGCCCCTTCCGTTGTAAGCATAGCCGTTTGTGCAACCTTCTGGTGTTTTGTGTCAGATTTCTAGACTCTATTCTTTCTACACTCGACACTCTTGTCTGCACCAATCATGCTCTCCTGTTGCAATGGATCCCTAATTCGCTTCGTAAGCAAGTAGCTCTCTCTTACCCCACTTCCTCATTCGTGCGGGTGGAGCTGTCCCTTCGTCTCCACTTCACATTTTTATTATTTCAGTTCAAGCTGGTTTCCATGATAAACGATGCAACATGGAGCATTCCGAATTGGAGGGCTGGAGCTCTTTAGGTGCTGCTGTTCCTGGATGGCTCCAGGGATGGTGGCATTGAACTTATTCAGACATGTTTTGTTCCTCGTTTGTTAGCAGCAGACATGAACGGATTCTACGGTACATCATGCCACATGATCAAGTTCTTACATTTAAAAAATATATATATACATTGTACACTAGTGGCAATCCAGATTCTCTGGTTTCAGCCACGCTAACTGCTATTCTATGTGCTGTGCGCTGTCCAGTTACCTCTGGTTCCAGCCACAGCTGCTACAGCAACACTGAGATTTATCTAATATTGTCGCAGAGCATTGCTCATTCTGCGGAGAGTTACCCGGCTGCTAGAGCCAGTGATTCTTCGTCTGGCTCCAAACCTGCCGATGCCAACAGAGATGCCTGACATTGCCAATGCCTCCCTCTCCTCCTCCTCTTCCTCATCCATATACAGCTGGCTCATGTAGCACATTGTTCCGGTCCCAAGGGTCCTGAAACTTTGTTTGCTACTGTCATCCTCTTCCTCCTCCTCTTCAGCCTCATCGTCACACCCAAACAACTGGTTTGAGAACATCCGTCCTTCCTCCGCCTTCCCGAACCCCTTCACCTCCATGCTCCAGTCCTTTCCATTGCATAAAACGTCCTTATCCATCCCACCCTTCACTGATTTTTCCTCAGCTGCCAAGAGCTCAGTGAAATGGTAAGCAGTAGACAGAGAGCATCCCTTCCCAATCCTGGAAACGCCTCGGCCAGTCCCCCTCTTCACACCAGCAACCTCCTTCGTCAAGCCAGTGCGGCTGCTGCAGAGGCTATCAGCAGAGGAGGAGGAGTCCGAGGAGAGGTGGATGAGACACGCACTGCGGCTGCTGCAGCTGCTCTCACTGCGACTGACGCTGCTCCACCCGCTGCTCGCCTCTGCTCCCATCTTCCCACCCTGTTGTGCCTCTGATCCGGTTTCCACACCCAACCAGGCCGCGACCTTGGCTGAGGAGGCAGCGATCTTGGCAACTGGGTCAACTGAGGAGGTATGTGAGGCAACAGAGTCCTCTTGAGCAAGCAGCTCCAGGAACGAATAGGCTTTCTTTTTCGGTTCCTCTTTCTCCTCTGCTTGCTCAGCTTCCTCTGCTTCCTTAGCCTGAGTTGAAACGGCAGCAGTCAGAGCTGAAACATCAGCAGTCAGAGCTGAAGCCACAGCCACAACAACGGTTTCAAGCTCTGCATCCGTTGACGCGGTTTCTTCGAGAAGAGCGACAACAGGAAGAGCGGGAACGGACTGCACCTCCACTGACGCTTGCTCGCGTGGCCAGATCCAGCTAGAGACGACCTGCACGAGCATAAAGAAGATAGGTTAGTTGCTGTTTCCGAGAACCGCCAAGACATTACCAGCAAACAAATGTTGACACATATGAACAAAACATTGCTGGTAAAGAAGTCGAAGGTTAACGAGAGCTGAAGGGAATGGCTTGGCGGAAGCGGTTCTTACCAGGCGCGGAGCTGCGATCATGCTGCAGCGAGTGAGGGAGTCGTTTTGCTCCCAGCAGCTCGCGAACAGAGCATCGACGTCCACGCAGGTACTCTCAGCGGCGATGCAGGCCATGTTGCTGACGTACGAAGAGTTGGAAGGTTACGGCTAAGCTATTGCGACGAGTTTGCAGAGTAGATCCTGAGCACTTGAGAAGGCTTGTACAGCTGGTAGCGGACGGAGCAGGAGCCGGTAGGAACTCGAGAGCAAGGTAGGAAGATTACCAAGCTTCAATTGAGACTAATGAATGATAGGGAAACACCAGCGACCTATTTATACAATTTCTGTCTGGTGGGTGCAGCGACTCTGATGAGCGTCGGTTGAGAACCGAGTGAGAGCGAGCGAGCGAGGGAATGCGACGAGAGGCATGGAAGGGGTGGGAGGGTGGCTGCTGGCCAAATTCGCAACGCCTGTGGGTGGGCTTGCGAGGGCTTGCAATGATCGGAGCCCATGGCGACATCATCGCCTTGCCTTGGGGGTATCGGGGTGTCGCGCGAGTGCCCGTATTACTAGCGGCGATTCAGAGTACGACACCTGTGCTATATGTGCCAGCGAGGCGGGGTCGTCCGGAAGCGCGTTAGAGCCAAGGGTCCGCCGCAATCGGGAGTACCGAGTGCGAGGCGAGATCTCAGAAGGCGGGAAAGTGGTCAGGTTCGAAGTCGACGACGGTTTCGGAATAAGCGATATGGTTCGCCAAACCAAGTGCCGAGGCAGAGAGACGGTCCGGCAGGCTGTCGGGATGTTGAACATCTGGGCCAACAAAACCGCAGGAGGTTTGGGTCACAGGCATGGTGATGAGGTTGGTCAGTCGGAGTTCTCGGGGCCCGCATAGCATTGTTGGAGGCTGTTCGCGTTAGTGACATCCCTTGACCACTCGAAGATAATCCATGACCATATACCAAGTAAAAGAACAAAAACCGCTTACAAGAAGGTGCTATCCAGCCTACGATATACATATACAAAAGCATATATGTAAACCGACACCGGACTGGAGCAGTGCTTTATAAATGTTGTGATAATGTATAATACTTCTAATGGGAAATATTTTCTGACCATAGCTGATATTTGTAAGTCACATTTTTAACTACAAGGGTATTCAAATTTCAACATATGTTAATGCTTGCAATTTTGTTTTTGTAGCACAACTGTAATGTATCAAAATTGAAACTGCGCAAAACGAGGATGCTGGTGTTCAACATCCCTTTCAACATCCCAGCAGTTAGTGATTTCGTGCTGGTTGTTTTTGCCTGCAATCCCCGTTCATCATTTCGCGCCAACTCTGAAAAACCCTGTTGTCAGGAACATCCCGACCAGGGACGCCTTTTCAACCGCACACGAACGAAAACAACTTACCAAACCAGCTGCCGAGCCTAATTTTGGGGCACGCCGAAGCAGAGTTGCCCCTATTTTATCACCACCACACCACGATCTGCGTCCCAGTCTCACTCTTCTTCTCACTCCCAACAGCCGCGGCCGTACTAGACAAATCTCTTTTATGACCAACCAGACCATCTCTTCGCTTGTCACATCTTTCCCATCCCATCTACCCGTGACTGTCCTTAGGAGGTTGGCTTGATGGCCATTTCCTCTTTTGCTCGCTGTACCAGATCGCATTCTAACATTCTTGTCACATCTTCCCCTTTCAGATGGTCCACATGATTGCCTTCTCCGCCCTCCTCGCCTCTCCCATCTGTGATCAAAACGCGTACCGCCTACCACTTGCGATACTACTGTACCTGCATCGCACCTTTCCAAGAGTATTCTCGCCACTTTCAGAGCGTGTCCGAAGTGAACGTCGAAGTCCCTCGACAAAACGTCGGGGGATGTCGGCAAATGTCAATCCTAGGATTGCGTGCACCGACCGTCGAGATTTATCGACATCCCTCGACGCGCTTTGTCGAGGAATGTCGACAGTCACTTCCCGCACGCTCTCAGGAATCAATGTTGGAATCAGGAATGCATTTTCAAGCGCGGCACGCGTACCGAACCAGCTGTCGAACCTAATTATGGGGCACCTACTACCGTCCATCCGAAGCAGAGTTGCCCCTCTTTCACAGTCCACTGTACCGTTGCCCCCGGCACTATTGCCACGCTAGTCCACTCCCCAGATCCCACTCTTACCACAATTCCCGGGCGAACAGCCGCGCCGAAATTCCCAACAGCAGCCGAGCCGCGTCGAAACTCCCAACAGCCGAGTCATAAGAGATGACTGACCTCACACTTCCCTTTGCAGATAGTAGTCCTTACGTTTGCCTTCTCCGCTCTCATTGTCAACGATCCGTGGACTTCAAGTCACTCGCCTCTCCCGTCTGTTACAGCCTACCACTTGTTACCCTAGTACGCCTCTCCTTCCGGACCTACAAATATTCCCGGACCTACCAATACGCTCCGTGCTTGGGGGCGTAACTACCTCCGTTTCTAATGGCGGCGTCCGTCTATTTGTGCCGCATCTGCCTGCCGCTGCTGCTGCTCCTCGCGGGTAAGCGCGTGCTGGGCGAGTATACGAGTCCTGCTCACTGTAGTGACAGTCGGAGTTGAGCGGACCTGACCACCCACTGGCTGAGTGTCTCTCTGAGAGTTGTGCCGCATGCGCACTGTCGGTACGGGCTGCTCGACACAGCGCATCGCACAGTATCGCAGCGCGATGCGCTGTGCTCATGTTCTGTGACAGCACAGCAGTCGCAGCATTGTACAGTCACTGCTCTGAGTCCGATGCGTTGCTGTGCTCTGCCGCTGTGCTCTGCCGTTCTGCCGTCGTGCTGTGCTGTGCCGTCGTGCTGTGCTCTGCCGCTGTGCTCTGCCGTTCTGCCGTTGTGCTGTGCCGTTGTGCTGTGCCGTTGTGCTGTGCTCTGCCGTTGTGCTGTGTGTCGTGCGGTGCGATGCGGTGCTGTGTGTCGTGCTGTGCTGTGCGGTGCGGCGCTGTGCTGTGCGGTGTGGCGCTATGCTATGATCTTCTGTGATGTTCTGATCGGTTCTGTGCGGTGCTGTGCGGCAGGCTCGCTGGACACTCCGTGGGCGTCCATCCGCACTGTTGCTCTTGTGGTAAGCTCCATCTTTCGCCTCGATTTCTCAAACTGTCGCACGTCGCTCCATCCAATCCTGGCCGTCCTCTTTCGACCCGATGCATCTTCGCTGCTATGCGCCGCCCGTGCTCTCCGTTTAAAGCCATGCTTCTTGATCTCTCAAACACAAAGCCATGAACTGCCATAAAACATCGGAACACCCGTTGGAAAGGTCAGCGTGAGCACCAGCAGCCATCTCTTCGCCACTGTCTTTCGTGAACCATACGCTAATCTTGCTCTCTACCCCCCATGTGTGCTTCCTCTCCGCTGCTCTGCACCTCCTCTGCTCTGCACCTCCTCTGCTCTGCACCTCCTCTGCTCTGCACCTCCGCTGCTCTGCACCTCCTCTGCTCTGCACCTCCTCTGCTCTGCACCTCCTCTGCTCTGCACCTCCGCTGCTCTGCACCTCCTCTGCTCTGCACCTCCTCTGCTCTGCACCTCCGCTGCTCTGCACCTCCGCTGCTCTGCACTTCCTCTGCTCTGCGCCTCCTCTGCTCTGCACCTCCTCTGCTCTGCACCTCCGCTGCTCTGCACCTCCTCTGCTCTGCACCTCCGCTGCTCTGCACCTCCGCTGCTCTGCACCTCCTCTGCTCTGCACCTCCGCTGCTCTGCACCTCCTCTGCTCTGCACCTCCTCTGCTCTGCACCTCCGCTGCTCTGCACCTCCTCTGCTCTGCACCTCCTCTGCTCTGCACCTCCTCTGCTCTGCACCTCCGCTGCTCTGCACCTCCTCTGCTCTGCACCTCCTCTGCTCTGCACCTCCTCTGCTCTGCACCTCCCCTGCTCTGCACCTCCCCTGCTCTGCACCTCCTCTGCTCTGCACCTCCTCTGCTCTGCACCTCCCCTGCTCTGCACCTCCCCTGCTCTGCACCTCCCCTGCTCTGCACCTCCCCTGCTCTTCACCTCCCCTGCTCTGCACCTCCCCTGCTCTGCACCTCCCCTGCCCACCTCCAAGGCTCTTGCACCTCCCTTATCCTGCACCACCCGTTGAGCTTTTGAAGCCATGCTTCTTAATCCCTCAAGCATAAAGTGGGGCACCATGAGCTGCCGTAAAGTGCTTTTACTGGAATCTGCCCCTCTCTAACCGTCGTACGCTCATCTCGCTCTCTTCCCCCCCGCCGCCCCCCATGTGTGCCCCCTCTACCCCCCCTGTGTCACGCGCCAGGACGCCAAGACGGTGCTGGTGGGGTGGAGGTTCACCTCGCTAACCGTCGTTAGCTCATCTCGCTCTCTCTCCCCACCACCATCCCCCACCCCCCACCCCCCATGTGTGCGGCAGGGCGCCAAGACGGTGCTGGTCGGGTGGCGGTTCCAACTCAGTCTTGCTTGCTGCTGACCCGCACGAACCGTACGCTAATCTCGCTCTCTCCACCCTCCCCCACCCCCCTGTGTCACGTGGCAGGGCGCCAAGACGGTGCTGGTCGGGTGGAAGTTCCAACTCAGTCTTGCTCGCTGCTGACCCGCACGAACCGTACGCTAATCTCGCTCTCTCCACCCTCCCCCACCCCCCTGTGTCACGCGGCAGGACGCTAAGACGGTGCTGGTGGGGTGGAGGTACACGCGGTGGAACCCGACAGTGAAGACATGGCCACCCCCCCTCATCAAGCCGGGCGACACAGTTGGTCAGTTCCCGTTCCCTTGTACCCTCCTCTCTCTCTCTCTCTCTCTCTCTCTCTCTCTCTCTCTCTCTCTCTCTCTCTCTCTTTCTCTCACTCACTCACTCACTTGCTCTCTACTCTCTCTTTTGCTCCCGCACTTGTGTTCAACCAATGGCAGTGTTCAAGTGGAATGATTGGCAACACAAGCACAATCTGGTGGCCATTAATGCTGCGCGTTTTTCCACGTGCTACTTTGGTGTTGTTGGCGCTACCTTCAAAGTCCTCGCCAAGGCATCAAAGCAAGGCACTTTCAAGATCTCGGCGGACAGCACAACGTACACAGGATACTTTACCAGCAGCGTTGGTAATGATTGTCTTAAGGGCATGAAGGTTGCCATGGTGCTTGAAGATCCACCACCAGTGTAGTGCTGATGATTCTGGGCGTGTTCACCTATTGTATTCATGCCATATTTTGTTTGAAAGACTTGGTTGACTGGAACAGGAATCGTACGATTTTTTTTTACGTGTGATGATTGTGTGATGTGAGTGAAGTCAGCTGGCAAATTCCCCTGTGTAACACGCCTGGAAAAACACAACTCCATGTAGCATATGCGGACCTCAAGGCTCGGGCAAACGAAGAGCATGACACATATGCTTTGTTCCTCAATTGTTAGCAGAAGAGATTCACATCACATGCAAAAGTTAAATTTAAATCAATGCTTTATACATTAGAGGCAGTCCAGATTCTCTGGTTTCAGCCATGCTAGCTGCTATACTGTCTGCTGTGCTGTCTGTAAAAGTTAGAACGAGGAATGATGATGAGAAAGAGAACAGTACAAGATTGTATAGGCAAAACCTATCAGGGCTGTACCCCATAAGGAGTGCCCCACTACAGCCTAGAGTATAGTTCTGACACACCCCCATAGGCGAAGTGGGGGACAAGCAACAGAACAATGCAAGGTCAAGCTCAGGGTCGATCACGACGTCACCACGCATTCTGAGCACAAGCAAAAGGCCACAAGGCCAGTTCACATGCAGAGTTATATATCAAGGTGAACAAGCAGTACAGTGATCTCAACCTAACAAGTGTAAGCATGCAGGTGCAGGTATATATAGATCACAGTACAAGCAAAGTCAAGAGGTGAGCAAGTGAGGCCAGGTAGGCACAAGACCTAACAAAGTACAGAAACGCTGATGATCACAAGGCTGAAGTGCCTTGGTAAAGATATCAGCAGTGTTGGCCCGAGTGGCCACGTAAGCAAGACGAAGCTGATCACGCTGCTGCAACTCTCGAGCAAGGAAGTAGCGTAGAGCGATGTGCTTCATCTGTGCTCCAGTCTGTGCTCCTGACACAAGGCAATCATGGCCTTGTTCTCGACGTACAGAACTGGAGGAGAACGAGGCGGCTCTCCCAAGTCGGTCAGCAGGTAGGTGAGCCAGCGTAACTCCTGTGCAGCCATGGCCCCTGCGTAGATCTCAGCCTCACAGCTGGAGCTGAGAACAGAAGACGAGCGGGTAGACCGCCACGAAACAGAGCCGGAACCAAGGCTGAAGGTGTAACCCTGTGACGACCGCTGCGTAGCCAAGTCGTCAACCGAAGAAGCGTCTGCGTGACCAGTGAGGACAACTCGAGCCCGTCCTCCAAGCACGAGCCACATGCCCGACGTACTGCACAGGTTGCGCAACACCCTCTCAGCTGCATCCATGTGCTCTGGTCGGTGTCTCCCAGGAGCAACATAGCGTGCCAGGATGCTAAGAGGGTATGCCAGGTCAGGTCGAGTGCAGGTCATCAGGTACATGAGGCAGCCCACAAGCTCTGGGTACGGGCCACTCGGCTCTACGAACTCATCCGAAAGCAGAGCTGAGAGCGTGTGGCGAGTAGACAGAGGAGTGGCCTGAGGCGAGGAGTACGTGAAGTTGAAGCGCTGAAGGACCTGCTGCACCATGTGTGACTGAGTCAAGGTAATGGTGTTACAATGTAATGAACTGATAGAAAATATGAAGTACAACCCTAGATATAGCAAACCCTAATCATGCAAGGAAGTAGAAATATAACACCTAGACTAACCTAAACAACACATATAAAATATATGTTGACACACCCCCATAGTCTAGGTGACGGTAACCCCGTGGAAAGACAGCACATATCCCAGGGTGGGTCTCAAGGACACACACAGTCTGAGAGCAAACAAGGGTCACATGACCAGTCAGCAAGAACAAGAACAAGCAAGGGTCACAAGACCAGTCCTCAAGAACAAGACAAATCTCAGGGTGGAACTTAAAGTCACCACACAGTCCGAGAGCAAGCAAAAGAGCCACAAGGCCAGTTCACATGCAGGTATATAGCAAATATATTGAGATGCAAGAGTACAAGACAATAAGAACAACGCATCTACGTAAGCAAGTGAGGACGGGCCCGCACAAGGCCAAGCTGGGTGCAGAAACGCTGGTGATCACAAGGCGGCAGCGCCTTGGTGAAGATATATGCAGTGTTGGCCTCAGAGACCACACGTCGTACGAGTACCTGGCCACGCTGCTGTAACTCACGCAAAAGGAAATAACGAAGCTGGATGTGCTTCGCCTTCCCAACCAGTCGGGGCTCCTCACACAACAGGACGGCAGACTTGTTGTCGGCGAACAAGACTGGGGGAGAGCGAGGCCGCTCACCAAGGTCGGTGAGAAGGAAAGACAGCCAGCGAAGCTCCTGAGCGGCCATGGCCGCAGCGTACACCTCTGCCTCACAGCTGGAACCGGCGACGGACGACGCCCGAGTCGACCGCCACGAAACAGCACCTGCCCCGAGGCTAAAGGAGTACCCCTGTGTAGACCGACGCGTCTCCGCGTCGTCGGCCCACGACGAGTCCGAGTAACCTGTGAGTGTAACTGGCTGCTTCCCTCCAAGGACAAGTCCCATGCCTGATGTACTCGCCACATACTTCGCCACCCTCTTAGCAGCGTACCAGTGGGACGGTCGACGTAAGTGCCTGTGGACCTATAAGATGCCATCTCTGCCTCCTCAGCTGCTATCCAGTACGAAGCCCAGGGTCCCGAGACCGCCTCGGCGTGAGTGCGAGGGATTGGGATGTCAAGAGCGTCTGGATCCCCCTCAGGGGCAATCAACATGGCGCAGAGATGAGGAACAGCGACCGCAAGAAAACCAAGCTCGAACTGCCTGTCCTCGAGGACCTCTAGGGGAAAAACAGGAGCACCCCCAGAGAACGGAGAACGAGCAGGGCCACTCACCAAGTGAGCGGCGTAGTCAAGGCGGTGGGAAGAGGCAAAGCCAGCGACAGTGGTAACAAGTGCCGAAACAGACGACAGCGGTGCAGTCGGGTGAGTGACCAACGCGGACAAAACACGGGAGACGACAGGACGGGAGGAACGGAGGTAGTCGGACAACAGGTCGTGAAGCACAGTGAGGGACGACTCAGGGGGCTGTGGAAGGACAGGAGGAGGTGGAACACAAGAGCGAAGAACAAGGTGGAACGGACCGTCTGCACGGTAACGGGACCGACGACGCGCTGGGGACACAGCACGACTGAGGGGAGAACGACGAGTCCACCGGGACGAGGAAAGGGACTCAACAGGGGGAACAGGAGGGGACGGTAGGGGACCACGAACAAAGCGTGCAGGTGCTGGGTCGGGGAGGTCGTGTAGTCCCAGTCGCTGCTGCTCCGCCTCCTCTAGCGTCTGCTGCGACGGCACCGGCCCCTGCTGCTGCTCCTGTGGCTCCGCCGTCGCGGGGTCCAGGGGCGGCGCCGCGGGGTCCAGGGGCGGCGTCGCGGGTGCAGGGCAGGCCCGCGCGCGGCCTGCAGGGCAGGGCAACGGGCAGGCGCTCGAGGGCGCGGGTAAGGCAGGCGCTCGAGGGCGCGGGCACGGCAGGCGCTCGAGGGCGCGGGCACGGCAGGCGCTCGAGGGCGCGGGCACGGCAGGCGCTCGAGGGCGCGGGTAGGGTAGACGCAAGGCGCGTGACGGGGCAGGCAGGCACAGCAGTGCGCTTCGGGCAGGGCAGAAAAAAAAGTTCGTGGTGGGCCCTAAAAAAAACGTTCCCACTAGGGAACCTGCTCTGAAACCATGTAAAAGTTAGAACGGAGAATGATAATGAGAAAGAGAACAGTACAAGATTGTATAGGCAAAACCTATCAGGGCTGTACCCTATAAGGAGTGCCCCACTACAGCCTAGAGTATAGTTCTGACACTGTCCAGTTACCACTGGCTTCAGCCACAGCTGCTACAGCAACAGCTAAGAATAGTACCTAGTTTTGTCAAATCCTAATATTGTCTCAGCACACTGCTCACTCTCCTGAGAATGACTCGGCTGCCAGAGCCAGTGATTCTTCGCCTGGCTCCAAACCTGCCGATGCCAACGGAGATGCCTGATGCCGCCAACGCCTCCCTCTCCTCCTCTTCTTCCTCATCCATGTACAGCTGATTCATGTAGCACATTGTCCCGGTACCAGAGATCTTGGACCTTTCTCTGCTACTGCCATCCTCCCCTTCTTCCTCCTCATCGTCATACCCATAGAAAAGGTTTGAGACCGTCTGTCCTTGCTCCGCCTTCCCAAACCCCTTCACCTCCATGCTCCAGTCCTTCCCATTGCAGAAAAGACCCTTACCGATCCCACTCTTCACTGATTTTTTTTCAGCTGCTCGTGAACAGAGTATCGACGTCCACGCAGGCACTCTCAGCACCGATGCAGGCCATATCGTTGACGGACGGAGTAGGGAGGGACGGACTGCCTTAGGCGTAGAAACTAATGTGGATGGATCACTGGAACGAATTTTAACAGCACGCGATGAAAGCTTCCGCGAGAGGCTAGACAGCTCGTATTGAGCACTGGAGCAGGACTAAACAGCTGGTATCGAGGGGTGCAAGAGCAAGCAGGAACTCAGGGACAGTGTAGGAGAGCAAGTAGCTTCAGTCGAGACTGATGATTGAAAGAAAATCTGAAGGTCTACTTATACTGTTTCCGATGGGTGCAACGATTTCGATGAGCTTCGGGTGAGAAGCGAATGAGAACGAGCGAGCGAGGGAATGCGACGAGATGCACGGGAGGGGTGGGAGGGTGGCAGGAAGAGCGAGGCAAGCAGGTGAACTCGCCGATAGTCGCTCTGGGCGAACTCGCAACCGCGAGGGCTTGCAATGATCGGAGCCCATGGCGACATCGTCGCCTGGCCTTGGGGGTATCGGGGTGTCGCGCGACTGTCCGTTTTACTAGCAACGATTCAGCGTGTGACACCTGTGCTTATGTGCCAGCGATGCGGGATCATCTGGAAGAGCGTATTGCTCGAGTGTCCGCCGCAATCGGGAGTACCGACCGGCACGAGAATAACTGGAAGGCGGGAATTAGTTCAGGTTCGTAAGCCGACGAAGTCTCGGCAAACGCGGTACGGTCACCGGAACCTAGCGCCCAGGCCGAGCTTCAAGAAGACCTTGAATTGCGGGATGATGAACACGTGGACTGAGGCTATGACCGAGCTTCAAGAAGAGGCCTGGCAGGGGGTGTTCAATGTGGTAGGGGAGGACAGAATCAAAGGAGGGTAAGCGCTACAAAGCTCTCCGCTTTTCCACGAAAATCCGTCTGCTTTCCCAAAGGAACAAACTAAAGAAGCATGAATGCGAAATGCAGGTAAAGTGCAACATTTCTCCTCTTGAAACAGTAATTCTCAATTTGAACAGGAATGGTAATTTCCTTGCTATGATTTAATTACATACGGTGATGAAACTATTGAATAGCAATGAGTATTCATTTTGACTAGAGGAATTGTTCAGTAAGTCTTCTGTCATTTCAGTGTGGTCTGGCACTGCGCCCTATTGTTGAAGAAAATCATGGTACGATACTGTACTTCATTTGCTGGCTCATTCTAATCTGTAGCTTGGAATGTTTTCTCAATTCAGAGGAGTTCATTTGATCAAGGCCGCTGTATGATTGACTGGCTCTATTTGTGAAAAAAAACAAAAACAAATGTATATAAATACTTTACAATACCAGGTTCTAGAGGCATGCCATTTAGTGGCAGTCTAGTTACTCTGGCTCAGCCACAGCTGCTACTCCAAACTCGTACCTAAGGGTACATTCCGCTGTGGACACTGTCTAAAAGAATGTGTCCGAATCGATTGTGACGCGTACGTACAGCATATGCTGCCAGGTGTCAGAAAGCCGGGCCGCACGTGTTTGTCGCCAAACGTATTTATCATTGGGTGACGTGAAATACGGAACAGTCGCCAGCTAAGTGCACGCCAGCGCAACACATTTCATCTATCGCACGCGGTGCCAAATGTCAATTCATGCTGCATGTATCTGGACAACATCCCAAAGACCCCGCCATCCCCATCAACGCGTACATTGCAGCCTGATTGGTCGACGGGACTCACACGGAATTATTGACAGGGCCGCGCAATTCCCGCCAGCGAACCTTCCCCCCAGGTCCAAAACTCTTTCCCCACAACTCCTTCTCCTCCAAACACCTTACGGGCTTTTAGAGGTGCACCGTCTATCCTGTTCCATTCAATCCTCCTCGCTTTGCACTCTATCCTTTCTGATCTAGATCTACGTAACCCCGCGCCGCCAGCATGGCTCGTAAGCGTAAGGGCCAATCCCTTAACGAATGCCCCAAGGATCTTAATGACATCCCGTACATCCGCTGGATGAACCAGCAGATCGCCAACGACCGTCATCCGACTGGCTTGTCCGCGCCGCCCGCGCTTGACGGGCAGGGTTCTAGTGCACAGTCGCCCAGCGCGGGCCCGTCACGTGTGCGACGTCAGCCTGCAAGGACGGCGGCAACAGTGCGGCCCGTCGCGGAGCAAGATGTCGACGACGATAATGAGGAGTACCGAAGACGAGGAGGACGAGCCGGAAGACCTTGGGATGTCGGACGACGACGACGGCGACGATGACGACGCCGACGACGACGCGGAGGAGGAAGCGCAACCTGTGGCACAGCCGCCGAAACGGAGCGCCGCACGCGCTTCTGGGACGGAAAAAGGCAAAGGCAAGGCGGTTGCACCACCGCCACGCCAGGAGTTCCGGAAGAAGCGGTCAGCTGCACCAGTCGAGAGGGGCTTATGGTCGGACAAGGACAGCACTATCTTCGCCGCGGCGCGTTGGTTCACCAAAGACGAGCTCGAGCCTCTCAAGGGGAAGCAGGGGACGCAATACTGGGTCCGCCTTCTCACGCACATCAAGGAGTCGAACCCTGGTTGGTGCAGGAATATCAACGCGTTGCAAAAGCAGTGGCGCAACTTGGTGCTGCTTTGGCGGGAGTACAAGCGTGGTGATGGTGGTTCGGGCAACGGTTCTGTGGAGAAACCACCATGGTGGCCGTATCTGGAGCTGTACAACAAGGACACCGCCGCAGCCGCACCGCATGCGGTGGACAGCGGCGGCGCCACTAACGTCAACGTGCCGGCCGGCATGGAGGTCCCAAGTTCCTCTCAGCCTGAGACGTCGACACCGACCTTTACAGGTGAGCTGTGCTTCTTTTACCGCATGCGCGTATGTGACAAGCAAATATTGCGGAAACAACATACAACAGTAAACGTACTAATCTACCCTGCAATTTTTATTGCACTTCTGTCACAGCACCGCCGCCGCAGACCACTGCAACACCCAAGCGCGCGCGGGTTCATGAGACGGCTACTATGCAAGCCGCCAAGCTTGTCTCCGCGACCATCAAAGATTGTCACGGTGACGCGATGACGCGCATTGAGGGTCTCGTCCGTGAATGGATGGCGCAGGACATGCGCCTTGCCCGCGAGCGCATGACTGAATCAGCCCCACCGGATGTGCACCGTGCGCCGACGGATTTCAGCCCTCCTCCGCCACGCGGGGAGTCCGCGCCACCTCCCGAAGCCGCCCAGCAGCGCGACGATGTTGGCGATGTCAACACCGTCACTCCGGGTGATGACGATGTGGAGATATGGGTGCGCGGCGCCGACGATTAGCGTAAGAGTGTTGCAGAGCTTCACCCAGTCTTTTCCGTCTCTCTCTCAGAGCCTGCTGTGTCGCGGGAACACACAGTTCCCACTTGTGGTCCGCGATAGCACCCCGTGTCCACCATGGGTCGCGGTTGCGGGGCAGATTGTACCAGGCCATGTTCGTGCGCCTAACCTCTGCCATGTCTTCGCACATGTTGTTCAGGATCACACAACACGCGGCCCCTGCAAGAATGCGCCATAACCTGCAGTCGTTGCGCCCGCTGAAGATGCGCCATCACCCTTTGAATGCGCCGATGCATCTCTCCACCGCCATGCGCGTAGCGCTCTGGCAGTAGTTGAAACATTGGGCCCAATCGTCCATTAGGTCCTCTCCGCGCGGTGCATGCAGTGGGGTTAGGCAGTATTCTCTGAGCGGGTATGCCGCATCCCCAACAATCTGGTATGGGGTTATGTCCTCGTTTTGTAACCTTTCCAGTAGTGCAGAGTCTTTGAAAACACGCATGTCGTGCGTTCTGCCTGGATAACCGATGAGGTAATCCCATATTCTTCCTCGAGCATCACACGTGATTTGGAGCTGTACAGCGTAGGCCGACTTTCTTGTCCAATACTCGGACCGGTGCCCTTCCATCCCTTTCATGTGGATGTGAGTCCCGTCTACAGCCCCCACCACTGCAGATACACCTTTGACGGCAGCAAATTCTCTCGCCATCTCCGGAAGTTCTTCGCGTGTGGGGAAGCGCACCCAGGCTGCCTTGAACAAGGCGGGGAATTCGCTGAGGAACACGTCGACGAGCTCGTGGCAGAGTGTCTTGGAGACACCGAAAAGGTACGACATGTCGACGTAGGAGATCCCGCTAGCAAGATATTTTATTGGGATGAGCAACGCAGTGTCCATTGTGATCATTGACCGATAAACGACCGGTTCAAGATATTGGCGCATCCCTGTCTTGATATGCTCAAGGATCCTGCGGTTGATTCTGAAGATGTCCTGGAAGTCGTTCTCCCGCATATGCTGCAGGTCGTCAACCCACAGCGCATGGCGTTGCCGCTGTACTCTCGCCCTGTGACGGCGGTTCTCCCCGGTATCGTCCCCAAGAGATGACGACTGCTCGTCCGCGTCTTCGAACACACCGGCCTCAATCATGCCGACGAAGGACTTGGCTACATTTTCATAAAAGATGGTGTAGTAATAGGTGACCCATGCGACGAGTAGGCATAGGAGGAAGGGGATGACCCTAGGCTCCGCCATTTTGCGTAAAATATGCGTGTGTAGTGGTGGCGGTTGTGCTTTGTTTGCTTTATCAAGCCCTTGTATGTGATGTCGTGCTCTATAGCTTGTACCTATCGTTGTGGCAATTATTGGAGGCGCGGAGGAGTACATAACCCTCCGCGGCCTCCCCAGACACCACCAAGGATCTATTGCGGGCCTGGCGGTGTTGGTGCGTGTGACGCGCAAGATGAGTGGGCCACCTAATGGTCTGACCAATCAGAATCGCTCGCATGTAATTGTCGCGCGTCTGTGCAGAGTCGCAATACATCGATCGATTGGGACATGCAAACCCGAGACATTTGAGGGCGACTCGGGCCAAATGTGATTGGGACACTTTCTTTGAGAAAGTGTCCACAGCGGAATGTACCCTAACTAGCTAATATTGTCTCAGTGCACCACTGATTCTGCGGAGAGTGACCCGGCTGCTAGATCCCGTGATTCTCCGCCTGGCTCCAAACCTGCCGATGCCAAGCGAGATGCCTAATGCTGCCAACGCCTCTCTCTCCTCCTCCTCTTCCTCATCCATATACAGCTGATTCATGTAGCACATCGTTCCTGTCCCAGAGATCTTGGAAGTTCCTCTGCTGCTCCCATCCTCCTCCTCTTCCTCCTCATCGTCATTCCCATACAACTGGTTTAAGATAGTCTGTCCTTGCTCCGCCTTCCCAAACCCCTTCACCACCATGCTCCAGTCCTTTTTACTGCAGAAATCACCTTTACCGATCACACTCTTCAATGCTTTTTCCTCAGCTGCCAAGAGCTCACTGAAATGGTAAGCAGTGGACAGAGAGCATCCTTTCCCAGTGCTGGAACCGCCTCGGCCTATCCCCCTCTTCACACCAACTACCTCCGCCGTCAAGCCAATGGGGCTGCTGCAGAGGCTGTGAGCGGAGGAGGAGGAGGAGCAGGAGGAGTCCGAGGAGAGGTGGATGAGACACACACTGCGGCTGCTGCAGCTGCTCTCACTGCGACTCATGCTGGACCACCCGCTGCTCGCCTCTGCTCCCACCTTCCCACTCTGCTCTGATTCTGTTTCCACACCCAACCAGGCCGCGACCTTGGCTGAGGAGGCGGCAACCTTAGCAACTGAGTCAACTGAGGAGGTACGTGAGACAACATTGTCTTCTTGAGCAAGCAGCTCCATGAACGAAGAGGCTTTCTTCTTCGGTTGCTTTGGTTCCTCTGCTTCCTCTGCTTCCTCAGATTCATCAGCTTCCTCAGCCTGAGTCGAAACGGCAGCAGTCACAGTTGAAGCATCCACAGTCACCGTCACAGCCACAGCAATGGTTTCGAGCTCTGCATCTGTTGACGCGGCTTCTTCAAGAAGAGCGACAACAGGAAGAGCAGGACCTGAATGCACCTCCACTGCTGCTTGCTCGCACGGCCTGATCCAGCAAGGGATGGCCTGCACAAGAGAACCAAACATTGAAAATCAAAAGTTAGTAACTATTTCAATCGGTGACGGGATTTTTAAACATTCACCAAACAAACGGTAGTACTGTTGAAGGAGAATGTGCTTGCAGAAACGAAGGCGACGATAGGAAGAAATCGGTTCTTACCAGGCGTGGAGTAACGATCATGCTGCAGACGAAGCGCGCGAGGGAGCGTGACACGTGTGCTATATGTGCCAGCAAGGTGGGATGGTCTGGCAGCGCGTAATGCTCGACTGTCCGCCGCAATCGGGAATACCGAGTGCGGCACAAGAACATATGGAAGGCGGGAAATATGTCAGGTTCGTTAGCCGAGGCTTTCGGCACACGCGGTGCGTTCCCCCGAACCTAGAGTCTAGACCTAGAGAATTGGGGGATGATGAGCACGTGGATTTAGGCTGTAACCGAGCTTGAACAACAGGCAAGGAGGCAATGAGGTCTGGCAACGAGTGTTAAATGTGGTAGGGGAGCGACAAAATCATAGCAGTGGAAGTGCTTTTGGTTTCGTCACAAAATCGACGAAATGCATTGCTTTCACGAAATACGGTAGACGAACGTGCGAAAAACAGACACCGAAATGTAAAAGCGGCTGTGCCAGCCGGGAATCGAACCCGGGTCTGCACCGGGCACATGGCAGGGTGCTATTCTACCTCTTTATTGACACTATAGTAAATGTACAATGGATACAAGGCAAATCCAGAGACGTAGTGTATGGAGAGACATGCAGGCTAATCCTATTGTGAGGCCTACAAATAGGCCTCTGTGATGTCTCAATGGTCCTCTCCCAAGTAGGCAAAGTCAGCTGCAGAAAGAGAAGTCACCTCGGGTGGTGCGTGGTTGACGCCCTCGGTAAAACGAATTTGTGCACGACGACAAACAGTGCGAGCCTGCTCACGTTGATGGACCAGAGAAATCCGTTTGTAGAAGTTGGTCTCAAACAGCTGGGGAAGAGAATCTGTGGCACCACTCAAGTCGCGGAGTTGTGACGCCCCTTTGCGGCTGCATTGGCGAAGGAAGTTGTTGAACGAAGAGCCGAAGCAACCAAAGGTTTCGATGACAAGGGGAAACAGTTTGATGTCTGGACGGTCACGAAGTGCTGCAGCATAGTGGGTGGTCTTCTCACTTTCACGAGTGGCTGCTGCTGAACCAATCACCGTAGCTGCGTTGGGGTGCGGAAACCCCTTTTGTGGATCAGCAACAGAAACATCCAAGGCCCAGGTGGTACCAGAGCTAATATCGCGGCAAGTGATGTCTGTGCGGCGGCCAGGCAGGAGATGTTGGTCTTCCATCTGCGCAGAGAACCCAAGCTCCAAGGCAATGCGATGAACTTCTCGTTTGATTGCGTCGTGCACCTTAGTAGGCTCGTTGTTGCTAGGGCAGCGAAGGACATGAGAATGGATGGAAGGATCGGTGAACGGGGAGTTGCAGGTGCAGGTGAGTGAAGATGAAAGGTGAGGAAGAGGAAGGCCTAAGCGGATAGCTGCTGCAATGCGCCATTCAGTCTCTGAAAGCTGCATGTGCGGGGAGGATGGAGCCACAGTGAGCCAGTCACCTGCATGCGGGCCCTGCAAAGAGGTTAGACGAGCAAGGCGAAGCGGGGACGTTACTGTGGCTCGAACCTTCTCCAGCAAATCGGCTTCGAGGTGTTGGGAGAGATGAGTAAAGATTTTAGGAGGGTAACCCGATTGAAGCACAAGCCATGATGGGAAGCGATCACGAATGTCTTGGGGAAGCATGGTCATGGTGGATGAGATTGAAGGGTCGAGGAGGTTAATGGAGTCCGTGGTGACGTAAGGGCGGAAAAGAGGAGCACCATCAGTGATGAAGTGGGTGGATAAGGTCGAAACTGTCTGCGCCCAGCTACAAAGGTAACTGAGGGGGGCGATGGATGCAGAGCTGCGAATGTCGAAGCCACCTAAGCGGATAGGGAGCGAGGCTTGGAGGCGGGCCGATGTGGACTGTTCAGAGGTGGGATTCCAGTACTCAGAGCCCAGGAGCTGAGAGAAGTGGCTGAAAATGGTGCAGTCCCATGAAGAAAGTAGCTCTTGGATTTCGGGAAAAGGTGCGACAGTTCGGAGGAGGAAAGAAGGTCGGGCAGTGATGCATAAGGAAAGGATCCGTGAGGCAATCTGTGGGTCCTGCAGTTGATGCAGTAAGGGGAGGGAGGAAGTGAAAGAATCGAGTTTGTCACGAACTGTAGAGATGATGTAACCGTCGGAGCCGGTAGGAACGCCAGCGACAGTGAGACCGTTTGCAGCGATGGAAATACCCGGGGGCGGAATGCAGTGTTCGGGCAGGTCCATAGGGGCCCATAGAGAGCACTTAGAGGGTTGGACTGTAAGGCCGAGAGAGAGAAGGCGGGAGGTAAGGTCAGTGTATGCGGCAAAGACGTCTGAGGGAGGGCCGACCAAGTAGGTATCGTCTGCGTATGAGGTAATGAAAATTGAGGGAGACTGCTGCTGGGTTGGTTGGATGGCTAGCTGCTGTGTTAGGGCATAAAGGAAAGGGCCACAAGGGTCGCCTTGACGAACACCAGAAGCTGATTGGAATGTGTGGAGAAGGGGGCCGCTGCGGTAGTGGAGAGGTGAAGGGGTGGAGTAGAATAGGCGGAAGAAGGGAATGAGACTGGAGAATGGGGAGCGCCTTAATGCCTCAAACATGGAAACCCGGTTGAACGAGTTGAACGCGTTTGCAACGTCCAGCTGAAGCACCACCCAGTCTGGATGAAGGGAGAAGGCGGAGCACACTGCGTGCGACATAATCTCGATCCCGGCCGGAACTGCTACGCCAAATTGAAGGTGAGGAAGGAATGTCTCTCGCATCTGCTGCTTAAAAAGGAGAGTGATGCAGCGTGAAAGGAGGCGTGGTAGCACTTCCCCAATGGCGATGGGACGTACACCACCATGCGGTTTCTGCAGGGCCACGAGGTTCGAAGCGGTGTAGAAAGGCCTGACTGCGGGCGGAAGGTCACCCTGCAGCCAGTTCTGGAATACGTGGAGGAGAGAAGGGAGATGCTGCTGGTGAGAAAGAAACGTGTCCCTGAGGTGCTCAATGAACCACCCAGAAGGTCCAGCAGCTGTGCCACGGGGGGCGGACTGTAGAGCGGCATGGAGAACAGGGACGGTAAGCTGTGGTGCGGCTGCAGGAGTGAAGGTGTGTACCCAGTCAGGAATCGCTGCTGCAGCAGGTGGGTGCTTGGAGCTGAGGGCAACAACTGTTTCTGATGATGGAGGAGCTAGCTCGCCAGCTTCCAGTGCTGCCAGTGACCGCGACCAATCCCCGCATTTTGCAAACCGCTTCGCACGGTTGAGACGAGCCTGCTGCGCTGTAGAACGTGCTGAAGCCATGTGCAGAGGTCTAGCGGCTGGAGTGGCTGCAGCTACGGCTTCGCTGAAAAGAGAGTGCCAGTCACCAGTGATGAAGCGGCGCGCTAAGGCAGCACATGAAGAGGTAAGGGGCTGTGTGGGAGCAGCGGCAGAAGGTAGGCGCAGTAGGAGACGCGGAAATGCCAAGAGAATGAGGTGTGCAGCGACGTCAGAAGGATGTTGTGCAAGGCGGCGCAGTGGAATGAGAAGTGCATCGAGAATGAGGAGTCGGATGCGGGAGGGGATTCGGCGGAGAATAGGGCCAGGTGAGACTGCCGGGCTGAAGAAGGAAGGCCAATCCCAGGAAGGAACGGCCTCCCAAGTGGCTTGAGGAATTGCAGGTCGATCTGCGGCTGCAGGCGCCGAGGTTGGGGCTGATGAGCGGGGAGGAGGAGGGCGAGCAGCTTGCTGACGTGTGGCGGTGTTGCGAGAGCAGGCTGGAAGGTGACGGGCCAACGAACCTGAGTTGGCAAAGGTGCGTCGAAATGTGGGGCAAGAATTAGGAGGTAGTGGGTTATCGGAGGTTGATGAGGGCGGGCAGGGTTGCGGGCATGGCTGCGTAGAGTGAGGGGTAGGGGAAGGAGGAGGGGGATCTCGAGAAGGTGAAGCAACAGTTTCATAGTGTGATAGTGGGTGCGTGTTGTCGGCAGGGGCTGTGGGATTAGGAGCATCTGCTGTATTCTACCTCTTTATTGACACTATAGTAAATGTACAATGGATACAAGGCAAATCCAGAGACGTAGTGTATGGAGAGACATGCAGGCTAATCCTATTGTGAGGCCTACAAATAGGCCTCTGTGATGTCTCAATGGTCCTCTCCCAAGTAGGCAAAGTCAGCTGCAGAAAGAGAAGTCACCTCGGGTGGTGCGTGGTTGACGCCCTCGGTAAAACGAATTTGTGCACGACGACAAACAGTGCGAGCCTGCTCACGTTGATGGACCAGAGAAATCCGTTTGTAGAAGTTGGTCTCAAACAGCTGGGGAAGAGAATCTGTGGCACCACTCAAGTCGCGGAGTTGTGACGCCCCTTTGCGGCTGCATTGGCGAAGGAAGTTGTTGAACGAAGAGCCGAAGCAACCAAGGGATATGTGGTAACTATATCCGAGTACGTTACGTAACGGTGCAGTACGTTTCCATTCGAGTTCACGACACCTTGTGCGATGGGTTGAAACTTGAGCGTACAAACACGCCCTGCGGATCCTGAGTTCTAATCGGATCTGGCTGCTGTCAGCTGCGGAGCAGACTATCCATGAAGCAGATTATATGCCTAGATTTCAGAATCCAAGCTCCTGTACTTCTTTTCCCTTCATGGTCTGTCCTCTCGTGGATCTAAAACGGCGTCGTTACGCCGCGAATATCGGAACTGTTTAATAGTTGTTAACTGCTTGTGTTTCCGGTAGCTTCCGCCTTTTTATAGATAACTGCGGCTACTTCACACGACATCACTTGCTATTTTTCTGAGACTGGTTCTGTTGACCTGCGTAGACCTACCATTTGTATTGAGGTGGGGATCGTAAGGGATCCCGCCCAATCTGTAAACATCACTATTAGTCGAAGCGATGGCGCTTATAAGGAGGATGTTGCTGTCATTCGTCGTGGCCCTGGTTGCAATGGCGAATCTCGCCTCGTCGTATCAAGTGGGAGACTACGTGCCGTTGGCAAGGAAAGGCCAGTTTAACAATGTACGTGAATTTGGTGTATAACGAGAATCCTGCATATAATTTCCCCCTAATCTTGACATAACTTGTTCCCCATCTTGTTCCCTATGTTTCTGTAACTTCCTCTCTTCCTTCCCTCCCTCCCTCCCTCACCCCTTATCTTCGCCACGTGCACCGCGCTGATTGCTTCCACAGATGCGGACGCACTGGCACGACGCCATTGGACGGCACTGCCCGCGATTCGGCATCAACCGAGAGGTGGGTGGGTGACATTCGGGAATGAGTGGGTGTGTGGGTCATTGGTTTGAGTAGTGAGTGGCATCAACTGGGAGGAGGGTGCGTGACAAAAGAGCGTGAGAGTATTGTCCGTGGGTGGGAACAGTAGTGAGAGTATGCCCATGCCCTGTCCATGCCATACCGATTGCCTCGTGCCCCAACTTTTCTGCCTCTTTCCCCGTCTTTCCTTGACTTCATGTGGTTTTATATCTTACTTTCCTTGCCCTTCCCTGCCTTTGTATCATTTTCCCGCCTTTCACCGCGTTTCTCTTCCTTGCCCTTCCCATCCCTTTTTCCCTGCCTTGCTCATATCCCATCTTAATTGTCCTTGCCAACCTCCATTCCGTGCGCCAGGTGGCCTTACCCATCCCGCGCCCTGTTGGGTTTGAAATGGCAGAACATTCGTATAAGATGTAAGTTCTCTACCGAATTCTTACAAAATGTTTGTATGCTGCTGGTGCTATGCACTTAACATGCTTTCTCGGCAACACTTAGCCTTGTCTAGGTTAGCATGCTCATCTGTTACACGTACGAAGTTTAGTGCGTGTGACACACGAGTTTCTGAGAGCTTTGTGCGTGCAACATATGAGTTTTTCTTTGTTATTCTTCCATCGCACTACTTAACGCTTTAGTCGCTCCCATTCCCTACAGCTACCCCACCCATCTCCACCCCTCCTCCACCCCTCCTCCACCCCTCCTCCGCCCCTCCTCCACCCCTCCTCCACCCCTCCACCCCTCCTCTACCCCTCCTCCACTCCTCCTCCACTCCCTGTCACACTTTTGCGTGTAGCTCGTGAAGTTTCTCTTGGTAATGCTTCCAATGCACTACATGGCACTTCAGTTGCTCCCATCCGCTATAGCCACCCCACCCATCTCCACCCCTCCTCCACTCCCCTCGCAGGTCGCTGTCAATGGCCAACGAGAAGGTTGACTGCTGATGATTGTGTGTCGTATTGCTGCCTACGCTGCTATCCTCTCTTCCCTCTTTTCCCAACCTCCAACCCACCGCTCCCCCCACCTCTCCTCCCTCCTCCACTCCCCTCTCAGGTCACTATCAGTGGGCAACGAGAAATTTGTGTCGCCGTGACTGGAATTGCTGTCTTCTGTTCCCCCATTCCATCTCCCAACCCTCCCTTCCTCCCCCCCCCCCCCCCCCCCCTCCTCCCTTTCCTCTACCCCCTTTTCTCCTCTCTCAGGTCGCTGTCAGTGGGCAATGAGAAGTTTGTGACGCCTTGGCTTCTTGTGATTGGTCGGAAGAGCCAGAACGTGCCGCTCATTGAAGTCACCCTGGTGAGTGTACAATCCAGGTTACCCGGTGCCCTCGTGGGTACGATCAAGGTTACCTTGGCATTGAATTGAAATATGCGCGGCATTCCGGTCCAGGGTACGTTTGCTAATCGCCTGCCTCTCCTCCATGCCTCTCTCCCTTCCTTTTCTTCCTGCCTTTCCCCCTTGCCTGACGCCTATTTTGCGTTGTGAGAGGGGACTCAGGGGATTGTGTGCTGCGCAACATTCTAGAACTCGATTTTTCAGTTCTTCCCACAGACCCCCCTCAACCCCATCACCCTTTCTCTCTGCCTCTCTTCCTTGTTCCACTTACACTCCACTTCAACCCCATTTCTCATTTTCTCTCTTTCTCGATCCGTACAGACCCACTTTGCAGGCGATCTGAGGGGAGTGCAGGCGAAGGTGCACAACTTACCACATGAATGTGAGTATGAGTGGGCCCCTCCTTCCTTGCACTTCTATGCCCTTTCCCTGTCTTGATATACTCTCCGTTTCCCTGGCTTGCCATGCCATGTCACACCACCAGACCTGGAGCGCCATTGTCAAATGGCCTTTACCTCCCCTCGCCGCCCGTCCCTGCCTTGTTACACCTTTCACACTTTTCTTTCCTGCCCTTCCATGCCCTATTCCTGTCTTGATATACCATGTTGCACAACCTTCAGACCTGGGGCGCCATTGCCTGGTGGCCTTTACCTCCCTTTCCCACTCTTCCCTGTCGTAATTTACCCTTCCCTTCCCTGCCCTTCCCTGCCCTTCCCTGCCCTTCCCTGCCCCTCCCTGCCCTTTCCTGCCCCTCCCTGCCCTTCCCTGCCCCTCCCTGCCCTTCCCTGCCCCTCCCTGCCTTGATATTCCATTCCCTTCCCTTCCACTTCCCTTCCCTTCCCTACCACTTCCCTTCCCTTCCCCACCATGCCATCCCTTGCCATGCCATGCCATCCGTGCCACACAACCACCAGATCTGGAGCGGCATCGGCAGCTGGCCATGGAGTTCAGGAACGAGTCGCACTGGCCCAAGCACGTGCTCATGCGCTACACGTGGTGAGAGGGGATGCATGGTGGGATGCGGTGACATGGGATGGTGAAATGCCACCAGACCTGGAGCATCATCATCAGCAGCTGGCTTTAAAGTTCAGGAACGAGCCGCACTGGCCCAAGCACGTGCTCATGCGCTACACGTGGTGAGATGGTGGGATGCGGTGAGATGGGATGGAGAGAGATGCATGGTGAGACGAGAGGGGATTGTGAAATGTCAGTACGCCTGGGGCATCCTCATCGGCAGCTGGCTCTGGAGTTCAGGAACGAGTCGCACTGGCCCAAGCACGTGCTCATGCGCTACACATGGTGAGCTGCGGTAATACGGGATGGAGAGAGATGCATTGTGAGGTGAGATGGGACGGTGACATACCACCAGACCTGGAGCGCCATCGGCAGCTGGCTCTAAAGTTCAGGAATGAGTCGCACTGGCCCAAGCATGTGCTCATGCAATACACATGGTGGGATTGATGGTGGGATGGGATGGTGGAGAGCGTAATATGTATGGTTTCTTGGTTGTTTGGTTCAAGCACTGGCTCAAGCACATGCTCATGCGACACACGTGGTGAGATGGGGATGCAAGTTGGGATGGGATGGCGAGATGGGATGTTGGGATGGGATGGCGAGATGGGATGGTAGATTGTTGTCTGGTTCAAGCATTGGCTCAAGCACATGCGCATGAAATACACACATTCCGCTCATCTCACCACCCTCTCTGCTCCTCTAGCTCTCTGCACCCCTCGCACCTCCTCTCCCTCCTTTTTCCTCGGGCTCGAGTATACAGAGGAAGACGTTACAGCAGGTCTCCTCGTTCTCGTCTCCTCGTCCTCACTTCCCGCCTCTCATCCCCTCACCCCTCTGCCGCTCTCTCTGACTTATCTGTGCGTGATTCCCTCCTCCCGCAGGAACGAGTATGCGGAGGTAGACGTCACAGCAGGTCTCCTCGTCCTCTTTGCCTCAAGTAAGCATGTCCTTTCCTATTGTCCCTCCTCCCCTGCCTCTCCCCCCTGCCTCTCCTCCCCTGCGTCTCTTCCCATGCCTCACCTCCCCTGCCTCTCCTCCGCTGCCTACCATTCCGTATCTTCCAAACCTCGTTCTCTTTGCCCCAAGCACTCGTGTTCTTTTCCACTGCCTCTCCTCCCCTGCCTCTCCTCCACTGCCTGTCCTCCACTGCCTCTCCTCCACTGCCTCTCCTCCACTGCCTCTCCTCCACTGCCTCTCCTTCCCTGCCTGTCATGCCTGCCCTCTCACCAGTTCACGCATACCCTTTTTCTAACGATAGTAAAACTATTATATCAACCTATCTCGATCTCAATCAATTCCTATCATTTCTTGCAAGTCATCCCCCTTTACTCTCATCTCACCACTCCTTACTCTCCCTTCTCGTCCACTTTGTAAGAATGAAGCCTGTACACTCACCGTTTTTGCACCTTTCCCCTTTTTCGACATCGCCCCCCTTCGCCTCCCCCCCACAGCCTTCATCCTCACGACGTTTCTTGCGGTCTACATTCTGCAGTCGTCCAAAGACAAGCTCGCCAAGTAAGGCTGACTATCCAATGCTAATACTATCCAACGCCATAGTACCTGCCTACAGCAATCCAACCACTCAATACTGACCTGCCGGTCTACATTCTGCAGTCGTCCAAAGACAAGCTCGCCAAGTAAGGCTGACTATCCAATGCTAATACTATCCAACGCCATAGTACCTGCCTACAGCAATCCAACCACTCAATACTGACCTGCCGGTCTACATTCTGCAGTCGTCCAAAGACAAGCTCGCCAAGTAAGGCTGACTATCCAATGCTAATACTATCCAACGCCATAGTACCTGCCTACAGCAATCCAACCACTCAATACTGACCTGCCGGTCTACATTCTGCAGTCGTCCAAAGACAAGCTCGCCAAGTAAGGCCGATTGTCCAAAGCTGTGCTATCAAAAGGTAGATTATTCAAGGTTGGAACCATCCAACGCCTCGTTATCCTCCCATTTCGACCCTCATCATCCACACTTCTCCTTCATGGTCGGAGCCTGGGTTTTTAACGTGAGGATGTTGTATTTTTGCACACCCACTTCTTCCCCAGACTTATGAACAAGCAGAGGCGGAGAGTGCTGCTGCAGTGCCAAGAGGAGGGGAGGTTGCCAAGGTGGACTGAGAGAACTGCATTGCATGGTACACTGGTATGGTGGTATCAGTTCTCATCTCACGCCTCTTCCTCCCCTCTCCCCTTCTCTCCCAGGTTTATGAATGAGAAGATGGCAGAGAGTGCTGCCATGGTGCCAGGCAGGGCGGGGGCAATGTGGATTGAGAGAATTGCATTGCATGGTGCATTGGTAGTATCATCTCTCACACCTCTTCCTCCCTCCTCTTCCCGTCTCTCCCAGGTTCATGAACGAGCAGATGGCAGAGAGTGCTGCCGCAGTGCCGGGCGGAGGGGAGGTTGCCAAAGTGGATTGAGCGAGCTGTGGCGCATTCAATATCCCTGAAATGGGATTGTGATGATGTGACAAGTCAGTTGTTCGGTGCACTAAATGACAAAAATGAAGTGTACCGTGAGTTATTGTGAGCGTAATAACATAGGGCTTTGACCAGGGTACGTAGCCTGAAATGCTGAATTCATCACGAGGTAGTCAAACTCATAACCTTGTTTTACAGCCTTGTGGCGATTATTAATCTATGATGCTGTCATAAGAAAATGTAATATGTTTTGCTTCTTGTTCTCGCTTTCGATGTACTGTGGAGATGTATGGAGCGGTGTGCGGAAAGTCACCTCTTGCCGAGAAACTGAAAAATACGGAGGTTTTGAAAAACCGTTGCTGACACTTCCTTCGGTTCAATCTGTTCGAGATCGGTAATATATCACCCACTTGATTTCAGAACCTTCTGCTGGGTTCTAGGCTGGACCGCCATTTGCTAGGATCCTTCCCTTCACGCCAAACCGTAGTATAAGTAGTTAATTCAGCATTCGAGCGAATCTCTAGGATTCCATAGTGCAGGCTTTATCCGTAGCTCTGTACATTCATAATTACCCGTTAGCGTTGCGGATTATCATTGGGCAGCAATTGTTGCCGCAGTTTTTGAGTGGCTGAGTGGTCATCAGTCGATCTTGCTGAAACGCTTACTATTTCAGAGCAAATCGGGAGCGAATCACCTGCGAGTCGCGAGCGAACCGTCGGCGATTCGGGAGCGATGCAGTGCAACGCGTGTAACGCGGGGTTCGACGATGGAACGACGCGTAACGCACATTATCGATCCGACTGGCACCGTTACAACCTCAAGCGAAAGGTGCGTCACGAAATTTAGCGAAAGGTGTGTTACAATAGCGTGTCGCTCATCATCGCTCCGACTGGCACCGCTGTGTCCGTCTTGAGTTTCGTCCTTTTCCGCCCTCTCCGTTAACCTGCTTTCGTCTTAATCATAGGTAGTAGGTTTTCACGGGAAGGCCGAGCAGTGATATGAGAAACGCAAAATCACCGACTATTCGGGGATATTTGCACCTTGGTTGAAAATTTTTTTTTTCCTTCCTTTTTCTTTTCTGCCAGGTAGCAGGTCTCCCTGGGGTGACCGAGCAGTGGTTTGAGAAGCGCAAGGAGGCCGTAGCAGCCGCCGCCGCCGCCGTTTCTGGGGGAAAGCGCGGCGCGGTCGCAGCGGCGACAGCAGCGGCGGCGGCGGCCGCAGCAGCTACAGCCGCTTCCGGGGACATCGCAGCAAGGGGAGACGTGGGTGGAGGTGCGGCGGGGGGGATTCCGCCAGGGGGAGGAGCGCCAGTAGCAGCTGGCGGGTGGTTGATATACGAATGCGTGGTTTGCAGTAAGAAGTACAATAGCGAATCAGCTCATGCGAGTCATTTGCGATCCAAGCTACACGCCTCCAAGGCTGCTGCTGCTGTGGCGGCCGCGCGGGCAGGTGCAACTGGGGCAGGTATTATCGGGGCTGGGGTTCAGGGTTCAGGGGTTTTGGACCCCTCTAAGCCTGTGATTCGAAGGGTCGAGGCGAAACCGGTTGTGGTGGCGCATAGAGGAACGGGCGTTGGGGTTAAGGATAAAGGGAAGGGGGTGGTGGGAGAGGATGAGAAGGAGGAGGCGGAGGAGGAAGAGGAGGAGGAAGAGTGGGAAGAGGTGGATGAGGAGGAGGCTGCTGCTTTGCTGGCGGAGGGAGGGGAGGAGGTAGACGAGGGAGAAGAGGGAGAGGAGGGAGGGGAGGAGGGAGAAGGAAGCAAGGGAGGAGAAGCGAAGGAAGGGGAGGAGGGGGAAGCTAAGGGAAAAGGGGAGGGAGAAGGAGTGGGGGAGTGGGACGTATCGCAATGCTTTTTCTGCGACAAGAAGAACAAGGGTGGGGTGGACGAGTGTGTGGAGCACATGCACAGGCACCACGGGTTCTTCATCCCCGATATGGAGTTCCTCACGGACCTGCAAGGGATGCTACAGTACCTGGCGGCGAAAGTGACCCAGGGGCGCATGTGCCTGTGGTGTGACGACCGGAGCAAGCAGTTTAGCTCGGTAGAGGCTGTGAGGGCGCATATGGAAGCGAAGAGCCATGCAAAGCTGCGGTATGGAGATGGGTCTGGCGTGGCGGAGGAGGAACTTGAAGACTTCTACGATTTCAGCACCAGGTGCGTTTACGAATTGAAGGTTTCGGTCTCGGTTTCAGGCTTCAGGGTTTCGGGTTAGACAGTTTAGCAGTTTAGCTTGGTAGAGGCTGTGAGGGCGCATAAAGGCTGTGAGGGCGCATAAAGGCTGTGAGGGCGCATATGGAGGCGAAGAGCCATGCGAAGCTGCGGTATGGGGATGGGTCCGGCGTGGCGGAGGAGGAGCTTGAAGATTTCTACGACTTCAGCACCAGGTGTGTTCGCGGGGTCAAGAGGTTTAGGGTTCCAGATGGGTCCGGCGGGTGGAGGAAGAACTTGAAGATTTCTATGACTTCAGCACCAGGTGCGTTCGTAGCTCAGGGCTTTGGTTTTTGTGTCAGTTCAGCTCTGTAGAGGCTGTGAGGCCGCACATGGAGGCGAAGAGTCGTGCAAAGCTGCGGTATGGGGATGGGTCTGGGGTGGCGGAGGTGTGTCATGGGGTATGAAGGGGTGCAATGTGGTGCATCGATCCGTTCTGGAAAGTGTTGAATGTGCCGTAATGCGAGTGAAGAGATGAAAAGAAAATGCCTGGAAGCGTCATGCGCATGGGACTGCATGTTGTTAGCATTCTTTCTGACACTTTCCAGTTTCAATCGATCATATCCAACAAGTACAGATTCCCCCACGTCTTACTGATTCTCAACAAGTCTTGCTTTCCTGTACTTTTGAGGCGCCAAAAAGAAAGACGTGACTTTTGGTTTGACTCAAAACTCACCTCGTTTTAGTCGACTCAAAAGTCACCTTGTTACAATGGCACACGACATTTTCATGTACTTTTGAGGCGCCTAAGAAGCCCCTCACGTCTTACTGATCATCATAATACGCGTTCCTTTACCCAGTTCAAGAATTTCCTGTCACAATTTCCCCTGTGCTGTCCTCACCTTCTTCTTCTCTCATTTTCTCATTTGAACAATCTCCCCTCTGCCTTTCTCCTTACTCACCCTCCACCAGTTACGAGGAGGGCACGAGTCGCGAGCTGATTGTGGCCGACGAATCTCGTCCGCATGTGGCGCTCACCACTGGGGGCATGGAGCTCATCATTCTCCTCCTTTCTCACATGCTCTCCTCCCTTCACACCCTCCCGCAGTTACGAGGAGGGCACGAGTCGTGAGCTCATTGCGGCTGACGACACCCGTCCGCATGTGGCGCTCACCAGCGGGGGCATGGAGCTCATCATTTTCAACGCTGCAGCAGGGAAGGGGAGCAGGGGCGCGGATAAGGGCGCATGCGGCACGAAGCGCGTGATTGGCTCGCGGGATCTCGCGAGATATTATCGCCAGAAACCGAAACCGACGGGAGACAGCAACACGCGCCTCGTGGCATCGGTTCTCGCCAGGTGAGTGCGATCCCGTTTTCTTCATTTCTCACTTTTGCGAAAGTTTAAGTCATCAAACAAAGCTGTTGATGAAAAATAAACCTGGAAAATCGATAGCGCCACCCAGCCCATGCGTGCCTCATATCAGCTCATGCATTTTCCCACGGAATCACTGCCTCGGATTGGCACCTCCCTCCTCTCACCCCTATTGCTTCCCGGTACCAACACTTGCAACTGCTGGCCAATTGCAAACCGGGAGAAGTCGACAAAGGCCACCTTTCTTGCTTCACGTTCATTGTATTGTACAGTGTCGCCCTCCTCTCCCCCGCCCCTCCCCCTGCCTGCACGTTCATCTCCCTGCAAGTATCGAGCCATGCGGCTGGCAATGTGGCAGCCCTGGGCTTCTTGGTGAACCAGGGAGCAAAGCCTTCACTTCTGCCTCAATCATATGTTCCATCCCCCCCCCACCTTTTCATTTCTCCTTGTTGAGATGTCTCAAACACACTCTCGTATCGCTTGGCGAACCAGGGAGAATAGCCTTCACTTCTGCTCCAATCATATGCTCCATCCGCCCCTTTCTCCTTCTTCAGGTATCGAGCCATGGGGCTGGCAACACGCAGTTGGGGTGGCGAACGGCAGAGCAGCAGCAACAGCTGAAGCAGCAATGTTCTCATGTAGTCGATTTTCCTTTCAATCTCTCTCTTCCCTCCCTGCAGGTATCGAGCCATGGGGCTGGCAACACGTCAGTTGGGGTGGCGAACACCAGAGCAGCAGCAACAGATGAAGCAGAAGGATGCAACGGCAAAGGGGCGGGAGAGGTTCGAGCGCTTCCGCACGAGCGTGGGCATGAACAACAACATCAACTGGAACCTGCCAAAGAATGTGCCATATTAAGTGGTGCAACGTGCTCTCGTTTCAACAGTTTTTTAACAGCAGAAGTGTGTTAGTAGCGGCATAATCGTGTGTCCATCAGTATGCTTACCTGTACTAGCAACATGATCCATTGGAATCCTCTCAGATATTGTGCCATATTATTTGCTATCTGGCTGCAATCTCAACGTTCCAGTTGGTCAGATCAGGAGGGCTGGTACCTGCAAGTTCCACTTGATGCTGTTGATGAAACTACCTTAATCGCGGGCTTGCTACGAATGATCAATTCGCACAAATTGCAACATACAGAACGAAAGGTGATTGCTGCCCAAGTACACATGCCGTATGTACACTACACAGCTGCCCATTACAGCCTCATCCAGTTTAATAGACAGTGATTGTGGCCAAAGGGAGCTCATACTTGGAGTGATTGATGATGATATACTCATCTCTATAGTCCACCACAGCATCATGTGTGACTAGGATGAGGAAAACGATGACAGTGCGCTTTCTGTCGGCGCCACCTGCCTTTCTCATGGGTCCCTTGAGAGTCTTGCTGAACCAATCTCCAAGAGGCAGGCTTTTGCGATAGGCTGGGTTCATGCCAGTTGTCATGATTGGCATGATATTTGCAGATGGTGTTCCATGAAACAGCAGCTCCGCCTTCCCCACACATCCTGGTTTAAACTTTTGGAAAATCCTCCCTGGGCACTCACAAACCCATCCATGTACGTACGGTACCGTAACACAGACAGAGAAAGACAAAGAGAAGGGACATTTTCGCAGATATCTAGATGAATATATGTTTCTGGATGGGTGTGAATGGCACGGCGCTTACCAAGGATGTCCCTAGCGTCATGCAGGGGCAGGCTTGTAAGTGATCCCACAAACTGGTCAACAAGCCGTGTGTCGTTAGTAAAACTGTGCCTCAGCTTGATCGACTCAAGGTAATGGTCAGGCTCAATCTTCTCTTTGACGGCGGCCTCGATGTACGTCGTGGTAAGAACCTCTGTGAGAACCTTGGTCCAGATCTGCTCAGGGGACGAGCAACAGAAAGAATTGCGTGAGACATTCCAAGATTACTAATATTTTTCCCATCCCGTGGAATTAGTGCAAATACTTTCTTACCACGTTTCCGTCCACGTCCGGAGCAGTGAGTTGTGTCAAACAACTATCACCAAGATGCGGAACCATCTGAATATTTATTTTCCGCCCGTCTGGCACCACTTCCTCCATAGTATTCAAATAAACCTTGGTGTGGCTAAGGTAAACAATCTCCTCAGCGTCAGCAGCTGCCCTGAGAATCCGGTAGCAATCAGCGGAGTCAAACGGCTGGAAAACGCCATTGACCAATCGATAGATTCCAGGAAACATTGTGTCACCGATTTTCCTCGAAAGAATGGTCACCTTGTCTGAAAGAGGAATGGAGCTCAGCCATCGCGAAGTGAGACTGAGACGTAATATAACAGCCTCGATGGAATGAATAACACGCTCCGCAATAGTAGCCTTGAGAATGCCATGAGAGGTGCATGGCCAGCACAATTGTTAGTCTCGTAATGCATCATGAGAAACATCGACTAACAGATAGCAACGACTACTATCTCTCTCTCGAGGCCGTCGCTCTCGCCAACCGTTGGCGCGTTTCGCTTGCTGACAGCTTTGGTTGGGTTGGAATTAGCTGGGGCAGCGTTCATTCAACGGACACGTTGGGAACTCGAATCATTTTTCGACGGCCTACTTCAATTGCGCTTGGCCTTGCGGGTCTCAGGGGGCGTTCCCACAGTTTCCCGACAAGAAAGTTTGCCCAGGCGGCTCGCAATTTGACCAATTTCGAGAAATTTGCCAACATGCGGCTCGAAGTTCGACCACCAAGTTTCCCATCAAATTGGTCATGCACGTGTTCATCCACGGCCGTATACGATCTCATCTGACGGCCCACGACGCCTACCGAAATGGGCTACAACCCAACCCACGTTTCTGTCGAAGTTCAGCTGCCCGGTTTCCGAGTCAACGCCATTCAATAGCAAACAAGTTCACTGCGCCTCAGAATTTTGGTTTTCGGTTTTCCGGGCACCGTTTTACGCGGGAGTCAGAAATCCCAACCGAGTCGTTGAGTCCATCCGATTGTCAGATGTGAAGGCCTATTGGGTGCGACTAGATTTTTTACGTAGAAGGTCGCAATCTTGTCGTAATGGCTCGCAAGGACACGGTGTCCAGAGTGGGGCAGTACCCCACTCTGACCACCATCCCGACAATTTTTGAGCTTGGTGGGCAAACTTCAGTGTCGGGAAACTGTGGGAACGCCATCTCAGATGGCATGAACATAGAATCCCGTAACTTCCCACAGGCGAAACATTAGCGGGGGACTCTAAAAATGCTGCAACATATGTTCCTGCTATTGAAATATGCAAGTGCACATTCCACTTGCTACGCCTTTACTTGTCCCCTCCACTCATGCAGTTGAGAAATTCTCCTCTTTCCTTGTCGGTTTCATGACCTCCATGTGTTTCAGTGGCCTTCACGGTTTGCAAAACCTGCCAACCCAACGCAAGGTAGCTACATTTACAATATTTAGAAATAGCTTCGCCCAGAATGGCAATCACAAAATACCCCATACACAATCAGACACCCACCAAACTCATACTCAAGTGGGTTACGTCCCTACATCGCATCAACCACCACATGTAGGACTTGATACGGCCAACCACTGACGAGCGGGTGACTTGACACGGTGTAGGAATGCACCCTTAACCACAACAATAACATTCCCCCCTATACCAATGTGCTACTCTAACCTACCACACATCTGCAACATGCCGTGCCATGCACGAGTCACTGGCAACAGCTGGCATGCAATGGTCAGTAAGGAGCGGACGGAATGCAGGCAGCCCCGGAGGCAGGAGGTGGTAGGTGGGTGATGCGGGACGCTGGCACAGCAGGAGTGGCGCTATGCTGCCTGCACAGCTGCCAGGGACGAGTAGTCGTATTGCTCTGGCGTGTGGTGATGGGGCGGGGATAGGGGGAGCAGAGGGTACAAGAGGAGATGGTACTGGTAAGTGAGGACGAGAGGAGAGGAAAAGAGGAAAGAGAAGAAGCAGAGCACAGGAGAAGGGCCATGCTGCCACCACTCACTGCTGGCCTGGCTGCAGGAAGCTGGGTTGCCCCAGTCAGACGACGACACACAGCCCTTGAGGCACGCCACAGTCTAGGATGTTGTGCTGCCAAACCCACTGCCATGCCCACTGCCATAACCACTCACTGCTGGCCTTGCTGCAGGAGGCGGAGCCGAGGGCGGCCCAGTCAGACGACGATACGCAGCCCTTGAGGCACGCCACGGTGTAGGGCGCCGTGCTGCTGGCATGGTAGTGGTAGAACGCTGGCTCGCCCGTACTGCTGCTCCCGTCGCCCACGTGCCCCCCGCATTCGTCCAGGCCGGAGGGCAGCGCTCCCCCCGCTCCGCACGGGTCGTAGAGCGGAATGCCGTCCGCCAGGAAGCCCACGAGAGGGGAGTGCTGGCCGGGGGCGTCCTGCCAGAAGGAGGCACTGTGCTGGGCAGGGAAGGGGAGAGGGACGGGAAGATGGGTGGGAGGGCAGCTCTCCCCCTGCTCCACGCGTGCCATAGAGGGGAATGCCGTCCGCCAGGAAGCCCACGAGAGGGGAGTGCGAGGAGGGGGCGTCCTGCCAGAAGGACGAGCTGCAACGGTGGGGTGGGAGAGAGGGAGGGGAGGGAAGAGAAGAGGGGGAGGAAAGGAGGAAGTTTTTGAGAAAGACGACTGCCATGAAGCCCATGAGAGGGGAGTGCGAGGATGGGGTGTCCTGCCAGAAGGAGGAGCTGGAAGAGGGGGAGGAGGGGGGTACGGGGGGGAGGGATGGAGGGAGGTGAAATGGTTATTTTTTAATTCTCAAGAACGAGAGGGGAATGCTGGCCAGGGACGTCCTGCCAGAACGACGAGTTGCAGGCGGGGGGGGCGGAGGGGAGGGGTCAGGGGGGGAGGAAGAGAGAAGGGGTAGATGGAGGAATAAATGGCACGAGGAACGACATGCATGGAACATGGACGAGAGGAGCAGGTTGACATTGCCAGAGGTTGCAGGTGGGGAGAATGGGAGAACGTGAGAACACGAAAATGCAAGAACATGGAATCCAGGGAACACACCTGCAGAGCTGGAAGGCGGTGGTGCGAGAGGCGGAGATGGCAGAGGGGTTGGCGACTCCGGGCGCCACATGGTAGTGGTACTGGCCAGAAGGCGTGGGGTGCCCCCCACACGTGTCAAACATGGACCCCTCGTATTGCAAGGCGTCCCTCCCCAGGGCGTCGCACGCACTGCAAGCAACGGGGAGGGTAAGACACGGGGATGGTCGGTATTTAGCATTTGAAAAAACAAAAACTACAAAATAAGAGGGCGTGGGGTGGCCTCCACACGCGTCAAACAAAAACCTCGTACTCCAAGGCGTCCCGACCTAGGGCGTCGCATGCACTGCAAGCAGAAGAGGGATGGGGAATGAGGGCGTGAGGTGGGATGCACAGCAACAAAGACCGAGACGCGTCTCCGTACTTCAAGGAGCAGCACGCACTGGGAGCAGGGGAGCCATACCAGCCCCCCTCCTACCCCTACCCTCACCCCCCACTCTGTAACATATGGAGCTGTTAGCACTTTAGCCTTACCTTGGGGCTGCACCATGCTGAGCCATACCATGCTGAATGATTACCCATGTCAACAACCTACATCTGTAGCTCCTGAAATCTGTCCTACCATCCTCTTTTCTTTCCTGCATGTCAGTTGGCGACGAGCAAGGGATGCGATAGGGTTGACCCTGACAACATCAACGCGTGCTCGAACAACATTATGGCTCAATCCATCAGCCAATTCACCATCACTGCGGATGACCAGTTCAAGTACAACTCATGGATCGCCAACACTGTTCACAAGTGAGTCATGTCTTCAGGTGTATCCCTCTCCTAACTTGGAGATGGTGTAGTCCCTACCCCCGACCCCTACCCCTCCTCCGCTCACCTTTACATGTATCCCTTCACTCTCAATGCTTCCGATTCTCCACCCTTCAAGTCCCACAAGAATTCTTCTAGGCCACCCTTCCCCCGTCCCCCCACCCTTCCCTCCCACAACATGCTCCCTTCCCTTTTCCCCCTGCTTCAATTACAGAATCCTAGTGGGTCTCAAGTACCAAAGCGCTTGACCCCAACAATCACCCCCTCCTCGTCCCCTTCTCCCCCCCTCCCGCATCAGGTACGGCATGTCAGTGGGTCTCAAGAACCCCGGCCCGCTCGCGCCCTCCTACATGGCGGACCTCTTCGACTAGGCGATCATCGAGAGCTGCATTTACTTCAGCGATTTTAGCAGCAACGAGTGGTACAGCGGCAAATACCAATGCGGCTACTCCAACGAGTTCTTTGTGCGCAACAAGGCCGTGTTCTCCATTGAGCATAAGGAGCTCTGGGGGACGTCTACGGGTCAAGTGAATGGCATTGCATTCCCAGAGGTCAGTTTATAATGTCTGTGATAATAGCCAAACGAACATGCCCAGCATATGGTTAGTCAGAAACGAGGTGAGGGTCAATTAATCTCAGGGCTCATGATGTTCTTTTCTGAAGCAGCTCGTTGTTTATTCCCCGTCTGCTGCCGCTCTCCTCTTTCCATCCTCCCCCTCTTCTTCCACCTCTCTTCCATCGAGATAATGTGTGCGATCAGCAATGCCCATGGCTCAACTTCCACTTCGCAATGTCAACTCAAAAGTCACCCCACTTCTTCCACCTCTTTCTCGCTCTCGTCAAGCCATGTGTGCAATCAGAAACGCTCACGAATTCAACACCAACCTCTGCAGCTACTCCCTGGGCACTGGGCCTCGCTATCCCTTGGCCAACTGCCCTCTGCACAAGCCTGCAGGGTGCGATGATGTGTGGAAGGAGTGTGTGAAGCAGAGTGTGTATTCGCAGTACAGGCAGCAGGGCATGGCGAGGTGGGATGCTGTGGGGCAGTGCATGAGGGCTAAGAGAGCAGCTTGCAAATACAAGGCTTGAACGAGGAGGAGATATCATTCTGAAAGTGCAGGTGAGACTGCAATAACTAGTGTTAGCCGGTACTATCATTTGTACAACAACATTGTCAAGTTAAACTTTCGCCGTTGCTTTAGTTCAATTTTGTCCACACGTCATGCCCGTACAAGTGTGAGCCACCGGGTGCGCATCTTGTGTCTGCGCTGCCCTCGGACTGGCATCGAGCTGTCCTAATTGATTACCATACTACAGGACAGTCGCTTATGGTCCTAGGCGCCTTGGTGTGGGTGGGACTGTCGAAACAGCAGGCGAAAACGAGAAACAGGAAAGAGGGGTTTTCACTAGCAGCAGTTGAGATACATATAGGAAACCCTAATTGGGTTGTACTCGCTATAGAGTACCCCACTGCAGGCTAGACAAACATCGACATTCTGACACACCCCCATAGTCAAAGTGGAGTACAATCAACACAACAAGCAGGCAGTGCAATAGTTCACAAGGATAAGCAAAGCTAGAGGCTATCACAGAGGGCAAGTGAGGAGGAGGAGAAACTGTGGAGGGCGAGAAGATGAGAGGCGACGGCTGAAGCTGCAGACACACGGGCAACAGGAGTGCGCAGCACTGACGCTACCAGGCTAAACCCGGGCTACACGGCGACAGGCGCAGCTGGCTCACTGTGCTCCCAGGAGTGCTCACACTGTGGCTACCGGGCGCAGAGCCCCGGACTACACGGCCACAGGGGGGCGTGGCTCTCTGGACTACCAAGAGTGCTCACACTGTGGCTACCGGGCGCAGAGCCCCGGACTACACGGCCACAGGGGGTCGTGGCTCTCTGGACTTCAGGCGCTGCGGACGACAAGTCGGCTACCTCCGGTCAACCTCCCCCAATTGTCCCACACCCCTTTCACACACCCCCTGCTGAACCACTAGCACCGCTCACACGCCACCCCCCTCGTACCACTCCGACGGCTCCAACACATCCACCCCCCTCAGCGGCAGCTGCAGCAGTGGGAGACGGAGGAGGAGGAGGAGCAGGGGACGGCTCACACACACGGCACACCCATACTCTCCACCCCCAAACCCTAACACAGGAGTGCGGTCAGAAGCTCGGGGGACGGCGTGCGGCACTGGGGCAGACGGTACGGGCCGCTCACGGGCCTGGCGCAGGCCGGACGTGTCAAACATTATATGTTTATATTGTGTAGGCTATAGTGGGTTTAGCCATAGGGGGTACAACAAACTTAGGGTTACCTACTTGTACCCAACTTTCTGCTAGTTCATTCATTCTCGTTCTCTCTCAGTTTCTAACATGGTATTACGGGCCTAGGTCGTAACCTAGGACCGAACGATAGGGCCCACCGTTTTCGCATAGTCGCGCCCTAGCGCGCCTCGCCTAGTTGCGCCCTCGAGCGCCCTCCTCTCTCCCTCACTATCGCGTGCCCTAGCGTGCCTCTCGCGATCGGCCCCGCCTAGCCCGCACGCCCTAGCGTGCCCCGTGCGATCGGCCCCGCCCACCTCGTACGCCCTAGCGTGCGACCCGCGCAGCACCACGCGCGTCGCCTGCCCCGCGCGCCCTTGCGTGCCCCGTGCGGCCCCGCGCGCTCGCTGCCCCGTGCGCCCTTGCGCGCCTCTTACGGACCGGCCCCGCCCCTTAGCGCACGCCCTTGCGTGCCCCGTGCGACCGGCCCACACCCACCCGCGCGCCCTTGCGTGCCCCTCGCGTACCGGCCCCGCCCAGCTAGCCCGCCTTTGCGTGCCTCGTGCGACCAGGCCCCGCCCCACTAGCCCGCCCTTGCGTGCCCCGTGCGACCAGGCCCCGCCCTCGCTAGCTCGCCACTTCGTGCCCCGTGCGGACCGGCCCCGCTCTGCCCTGCACGCCCTCGCGTGCCCCACCTCGAGTAGCCGCCGCCTAGCCGAGCCGAGCCGCCCCACCGAACCGCGTCACCCGGCCCGAGCCGCGCTGCCCTACCGAACCGCGCCGCCCTACCGAGCCGCGCCACTGCTGCTGTCACAGCTACTGACACTACTGCTGTTACTGCTGCTACTACTGCTACTGCTCTTACTGCAACTATGGCTAGCCCTGCTGTGCTCGCTTTCGATGCTGAGGGCCGCCCGCTGAAGTTTGACACCTGGCTAGATGACTTGCACATGTTCCTCCAGCTCACTGCCAAGGAGGATATCTCGCTGTACGATCATGCACTAGGACACGCTGCTGCACCTGCTGCTACTGCTGACAGTACTGCCCGCTCACAGTGGCAGACTCGTGACGCCCACGCTCGCTTCGCTATTCGCAACTCCCTGCCGGTAGATGAGCGCGAGCACTTTGGCCAGCACAAAACTGCGCAGGCACTGTACACTGCTGTAGTTGCACGCTACTCCTCACCTGCCTCTGCTGCGCTAGGCCGTCTCTCGCTCCCCTACCTGTTCCCAGACCTGTCCGCTTTGTCCACAGTCGCTGACCTCATCACGCAGCTCCGCACTAGTGAGGCCCGCTTCCGTGCCGCTATGCCCGCTGAGTTTCGTGCCACGCACCCCCCCCCGCTCTGGCTCACTCTCTACCACCTGGTCACCCGTCTCCCTGACTCTCTTCGTGCGGTCAGGGACCACTTCCTCGCTCGCTGCCCCGCTGAGCTCACCGTTGATCTGCTCGAGAAGGAACTGCTTGCAGCTGAGACTAGCATAGTCGCTGTAGGTGCCTCTCGTGGCGACCCCCGCACCCCTTTCTTCGAGGGGTGTTCCCCTTCCCCCCTTCTCCCCTCTGTCGCCTCTGCTGCTGCTGTCGACCTAGTTGGTACTGAGCAGGTCGGGACTGCGTCCACTCCGAGTTGGCGCCGCAGCGGCAAGGGCAAAGGGGGCAAGGGAGGCGGAGGTGACGGCGGGGGAGGCGGTGGTGGGGGCGGTGGCGGCAGTGGGGGTGGTGGCGGGGCTGGAGGGTCTAGTGGCGGCGATGGGGGTGGTGGCGGCAGCGGCGGAGGAGGTGGCCGGGGTGGGGGCGGTGGTGGGGGCGGCGGTGGACGCGGCGGCGGCAGGGGCGGTGGTGGTCGAGGTGGTGGCGGCGGAGGTGGTGGTCGTGTAGGCGCTGGCGGACAGCAGACTCCGTCGTCCCAGGAGCTTCGTGAGTGGTACTCTCAGCACGGGGGGGGGAAGGTGGCCTTAGCTGCACGTACGTCATCCGCACTGGTGACCGCACTGGCCAGACGTGTGGGAGGGCGCACACCGCGCAGCGCTGCTTCTCCCGCCTCGACGACGCTTGGCGCACTCAGTTCCCTGCTGCCACTGAGCTGCCCCGCTGGGCTGATCTGATGAGGAAGAACATTAATATCTATGCTCTTGACTTTGATGCTATTCTCACTGCAATGTATGTGTTGTCTACTAGTGGAGAGGGTGCTCAGTACCTGCGTCTTCCGCCCGACCCGGGCATTCGGACCAGTGAGGCTGCCGCTCTAGGTGCTAGTGCGTCTGTTGCCCCAGGTGCTGGTGAGGCTGCCGCTCCAGGTACTCGCGTGTCTGCTACCCCAGGTGTTGGTGAGGCTGCTGCTCTAGGTGCCCGTGAGTCTGCACCACCTGGTACTGAGTCTACTGAGGCACTGCACACCTTCACACTGGACTCAGGTGCTTCTCGCTGTTTCTTTCGTGACCGCACTGCCCTTGAGCAGCTTGCTCGGCCAG